TTTCACTGACCACAAAATACAACTGTAGCTGTTTGCTCAGAACTCCCTGATGCAATGTTAGTAAGGGCCCAGGCTGCCTCAAACTGAAGCGTAGGACTACAAATTGATTACAAACACAAAAAGGTTGGGATAATAATTGGCAATTAAGTAATTGGATTTGCGTGTCATTCTTACTGTTCATGTCGCAAGCACTCAACAAGAACAGGAACGAGGCCAACACTAAAAGATACACAATATATGTAACAGCAATTCTATCTCTCTTCTCTCTCACCTAATCAATTCATCTATTGGAGGATTGCGACCTTTTGATAATATCTTCCTATTAAATTATAAAAAATTGCTTCAAACGTACATTCTCCATTTAACAATAAATGTACTACCTCACTAACTGTATCCCTTCTAACTTCTGGTCTATATCAATATGGCGAGCTTTCTTAGTTATATCAAGTAATGTATATGAACTTAAATCCTAAAAAAGAGGAAGAAAAAAGAGGCGTATAATATTAATTTGTAATAGATCTGTATTATTCAATAATCCTTATCTTACAGTAACTACGGAAGTTTGTATATCAAGTGGTATGTGCCTCTTTTTCAATAACTGTTCTTCTTTTTTATTCTACAATGGAAAAAAGATTACATGCCTGCCCCGCCCATCCATTAATACTCATACTTTACGTAGCTCAATAGTCACGTCAGTTCTCCTCCTCCTCATCTCCTAAAATATACGAATCGTTTGTTAACCCAACCCCCCGACATGCCCACTTACAGCCTGATCCCGTCCCCTGTTCTTAAAATGTTTGTGTCTTCCTTCAGACATGACTGACTGCTTGAGGATAAAAGACAAAAATGAAGCATATAAATTATTTATAATAATTATCAGGCTCAAAGAAAAAGGTATTCACAATACAGTAGGTAAAAAAGAGGTCGGGGAGTATGCGGGCATACCTTTTATGATACAGAGAACGACAGGGAAAGGTCTATCAGTCTTGTGGTCATCAAGAAATGGTCGCCATCTTTAATGGCAGGAAGAGAGAATTAAGGCAGGGGGCTGAGTCAGATATCTACTGCGCATGCGCACTGAGTGTTACCGGGAACTCACGTGGGCGTTTTATTTATTGATTGAATCTGACATTCATTCATAAATGGAGGCAGAAGAAGCAGCTGCTGCAGCAAAGAGAGAAGCAAGAGAGGCTAGGAAGAGAAAATTATTAGAAAATTCTAACAATAGACTTGATCGAATTAGAACGAAGTATAAATAAATAATAATAATAATAATTGTATTGTGGGTGTGGCTAATTTTTAAATAATAATTATGTATTTTTTCTAGATCAAATGTAAGTCCTAAAGACACTCTGACCTCCTCTCCTCCCAAGCCTTCTGAAACGTAAGCATTTCTAATAATTCTTATTGTGATATTTCACTTTTGTTATTTTAGGAGTAAACGAACTGATACTAATCAACCAGAAACCACACCTACAGTCAACAAAGTGACCACACCCACTCAATCATCTGCAACAACAAATCGTCATCTTACAGTCATCAGATTGGTCTATTGTGCACTAATTGGAATAGCCAGTAACCACGGTCTCATACCAGCATCATTAATACTACTAGTATCAGTCCTGCTCAGTTTCAGCACACTTTTACTAACAACATATTCCTTTTCATTACCAGCATCACGTTTTGCATGGGCGGAGTCTCTGATTGCATGGGCGTACCCTCAAGGACTGACATGGATCAAGTGGTTTATGAATGTAATTAAAGGAGTTGAGTTTGTCGCACAAGACTTGTGTATGTGTGTGTTTTTCACTGTCACGTATTACATAATCATTTATAATGTTTTGGTTCTCTTATGATTTCTCTCTATTCTTCGTTTGGCTTTAATGATTTCAATGCAGTCGGACCGTCCTCTAATATTTTTCTTTTTGGTGGTCGTCCTCTCTTCTTCGGAACCCCCGCCGCTTGTTCCTGGGCGTCCTCCCCTCCTGGTTTAAGTGACGTCACGTAATGTGATAAGGATTCCCATTTTGCCGAACCCACTACCTCGTGAAGACCCATCGAATAATTATCTTCTAACCGCGACTCGAGAAAACCACGACTAAAGAGAGAGAGAGAGATGTACATGTACACTGCATTTATGTTTTCTTTCCTTACACTCCGTTTGTTCCTTGTTTGTCAGCATCAAGAAGACGGAAGCTGAATCCAGCAAGGACCTCAAGAAAGCTTAGGTTCTCTGGTACTGACACGCCTTCATCCTCTTTCTCTTCCTCCTCTTCTCTTGTCTGAAGTGCAAACTTTATTCCCTCAAAATGAATGTGGACTATCGAGTGACGTATCTTGACTAGATCAAACCCAGTTGTTAGTGCTATCCTGTGTGCTAGGTCCTTCAGAGAGAAAGAGAGAGAGAGAGAATAAGTAAAGTCAAAACTCAGAGTAGTATTATACCTTTAGATTAGCCCATTCGGTAGAGCAGTAGTCAATGCCATTGGTTGTATTATCAAGCTGTAATGAGGTGTACTGCTCTTGCAGAACTTGAAGGACGGTCTTATACCAAACGGTAGATTTAGAATCAGCTTCTCTCAGTTTAGTGAAAGCATGACGCAGCAAGTCACCATAATCATAGTAGAACTATTGGGTGGGTACATATCAAGAGATAATGATGATCACAATTTTTTTAATGGTCATAACTTTAAAAATTTCAGTCGGAATCGGCTCAAACTTTCTACACAGCATAAAGACATCAATATGTATCAGAGAATGTAATAAAAAATTGGGGGTGATTTCGGAGCCATTTTTCAGGAAAAACCATGGGCTATAGTACAGGGAAATTTTCAGATTTTGGCTCATTTCTAAAAATGGTCATAACTCAAAAAATTTCCGTCGGAATCGGCTCAAACTTTCTACACAGCATAAGTACATCAATATGTATCAGAAAATGTAATAAAAATTGGGGGGTGATTTCGGAGCCATTTTTCGGGAAAAACCATGGGCTATAGTACAGGGAAATTTTCAGCTTTTGGCTCATTTCTAAAAATGGTCATAACTCGAAAAATTTTAGTCGGAATCAGCTCAAACTTTATACACAGCATAAGTACATCAATATGCATCAGAAAATGTAATAAAAATGGGGGGTAATTTCGGAGCCATTTTTCGGGAAAAACCATGGGCTATAGTACAGGGAAATTTTCAGATTTTGGCTCATTTCTAAAAATGGTCATAACTCAAAAAAATTTCAGTCGGAATCGGCTCAAACTTTCTACACAGTATAAGTACATCAATATGCATAAGAAAATGTAATAAAAATTGGGGGTAATTTCGGAGTCATTTTTCAGGAAAAACCATGGGCTATATATAGTACAGGGAAATTTTCAGATTTTGGCTCATTTCTTAAAATGGTCATAACTCGAAAAATTTTAGTCGGAATCAGCTCAAACTTTATACACAGCATAAGTACATCAATATGCATCAGAAAATGTAATTAAAATGGGGGGTAATTTTGGAGCCATTTTTCGGGAAAAACCATGGGCTATAGTACAGGGAAATTTTCAGATTTTGGCTCATTTCTAAAAATGGTCATAACTCAAAAAAATTTCAGTCAGAATCGGCTCAAACTTTCTACACAGTATAAGTACATCAATATGCATCAGAAAATGTAATAAAAATTGGGGGGTGATTTCGGAGCCATTTTTCGGGAAAAACCATGGGCTATAGTACAGGGAAATTTTCAGATTTTGGCTCATTTCTAAAAATGGTCATAACTCAAAAAAATTTCAGTCAGAATCGGCTCAAACTTTCTACACAGTATAAGTACATCAATATGCATAAGAAAATGTAATAAAAATTGGGGGTAATTTCGGAGTCATTTTTCAGGAAAAACCATGGGCTATATATAGTACAGGGAAATTTTCAGATTTTGGCTCATTTCTTAAAATGGTCATAACTCAAAAAAATTTCAGTCGGAATCGGCTCAAACTTTCTACACAGTATAAGTACATCAATATGCATCAGAAAATGTAATTAAAATGGGGGGTAATTTTGGAGCCATTTTTCGGGAAAAACCATGGGCTATAGTACAGGGAAATTTTCAGATTTTGGCTCATTTCTTAAAATGGTCATAACTCGAAAAATTTCAGTCGGAATCAGCTCAAACTTTCTACACAGCATTAGGACGTCAATATGTATCAGAACATGCAATAAAAATGTGCGGTGATTTCGGAGCATGTGTGCATAATGTACATCTACCTTAATGTATTGGCCTAATACAGCTACAGAGCTCCTGGCCTCCACAACAGAATACACTACAAGCTTAAGGTAACCAGCCAGGAGCAGTCTCCTCTCGTTGAGTCTAGCAGCCTGGGCAAATGCTTCCTCGTCAGTTGTGGGGTCGTCCTCAAGGTCTCCTTCGTTAAAAACCCTCTCAGTGACGTAATCACAAAGACTAGTCTGGAGGGAGGAGCTGGGCACGTACACCAAAGAAATCAACTCTTCTAATAACAGAAAGAAGAAACGATTATCTCAAAATAATTATAAATTATATTTATTAAATTTCTCATGTACACGTACATATGCATGCATTCATAAATACTTCAAAATCAAATTATTTTGCCATACAAGTAAATATATACATGTACAACATATCTGCATACTTAGTACATCAAATTCTTGTACATCTCAGTATATTACCTTTACAGGCGAGCTGTTTAGCAAAAAGCATGAGTAGGTCGCATAAAATAACAAAGGACTCTTGCTGGACTGCTGGTGATCCCAGCTTGAGGAGGTCAGAACAGATCGTGATTACTTTCTCCATTGAAGTACGAATGGAGCGTATGGTGTCTCTGTCAGGAGGAGAGTGAGACTCGGCCTCTTTGAGAAACCACAGCAAAAATAAACTGTCACAATTCATGGATGGAATAACCAGCTGGAGGAAGAGAGAGAGAGAGGGGGGAGGAGGAATAGATAAAAATACTCAGTACAGCATGAATTGTGTGCATCTTCTAGAACAGTAACATTTCACGAATATTAAAATAAAAATTAGCAGAAGCCAGATCTGGGCCACAAAAGTACTCAATATTATTATTTTTAAAGCTCGTCCTTACAATGTCAGTTGCTGATTCGTCAACCCCAAACTCAACCAACTTATGAAACTTATCGAATGACAACTTCTTAGTAATATCAATCTGCCTGTGTGAGAAAGAAGAGAAATATCTTTAAATAGTACACATGACCCATGTATGTATAGTACTTGAATAAAGCTAAAAGTCTTTGTAGAGTAGTACCAAAGTTATAAACATCATCATTGTCATCATCATTCTATAGGAACAAGAAAATAAAATTGACCTCAAATAATTATACATGTACAGACATGTACATGGAAGAACCTACCAGTGGGATGTCATCAATATTTTCCATGTATCTGTCAAAAATAGAGACAAGCTCATCAACGAGCTGGTTAAAGGAAAGGTCAACCACCGAATGTAAAGTGAAGTCAGGATCCAAGAGGTGACAATAGCACGTACTTATCTCGTTAAGGACCTGCGTATCCAAGCAACGGTTGTCACGGTAGCGTAGGGAAGGCGTGGCTTACCTCTTGAGACGTGTGCTGTAATACTAACGACTTTAGTTCCGACAATAAATCCTCCAGGAGCTACATAATAAATAAATAAATTAATAAATGAATAAATGAAAATGATTATTTTACTAACTTTTTGTCCTCTTATTTCAACGTATACTTCCAAGTCAAACTGCTTAACAATACAGCAGAGATTAATGGCACACTCAGGATTAGTGCCATACTTTATACAGGAGAGGTAGAATTAGGAATAATAATTTATTATTATTATTATTATTATTATTATTATTATTATTATTATTATTATTGTTATTATTATTATTATTAGTATTATTACGACTGCAAGTACATACTTTAACTAGTAATTGTGGCAGGACAGGGATCAGTGCTGTAGCCATTGTGTGCTTGTCTGTTTCCATGGCTCTCTTCTCTTTAGCATTGAGCATCTTGTTACCAACTCCTTTGAGTACAGTGAAGGACCCACAGGCCCTCTCTGCTGCTCGGGCCATCAACTCTATAGCAACCACTTCCTCTTTTTGGGATAGTTCAATAGGACAGGATGAAGAGGTGAGGACTTCAATCATGTTCTTCCAATCCTAAACCAACAAAAAATTAATAATAGATAATACAAAAACACAACATGTAAACTATATATATAAATATATAAATACAATGTACATGTTGAAATATCGATGTGTATTGATCATTAAATTAACAAAATTTAGTTAAAAGTATAGGTGTCAAAAATTAAGATATCTGGACATGACTAACGCAATTTTAAAATAAAAAACTAAATTAGAAAATGACATCATTATTAATTAACATACGACTGAGGCATAATCGCATGGTAACAATTAATAAAAATGCATTACTAACATATATCATATATCAATAGATCACCTTCAGTAGGTCAGTATGTCCCCATACGCTGTCCACCATGTATTCTGCGTGTTTGTGTATATCAGATTCGATGTAGAAATTAACGAGTTCCTTCAGTTTGATTTGAGCATTAGTTGGTCTCTTTTGATTCTTAGAGGGTCGGCCACGAGTCTTGGTGACAATTTCATCGCAAAATATATATCGGACAGCAAATTTACCTAATAATAATAATAATAATAATAATAATGTTAATAATAATAATCAATAAAATAATACAATAAAAACTTTTCATAGCAAATTCTCTCACAGCAATTTTTGACGAAATACCCTGTACTATAGTACAGGGTGTTTAGCCTGATTTTGAATCAACTTTAATCCACACAAGCATACCTGCTGCTCTACCTAGTACTCTATTCTCCAAATGGACAAGCTGACACAATTCAACGCAATCATCGGCATCCAACATGTCAAGAGAGAAAAGAAGAGTGCATAGAGATATGGCAGTGCTGGCAATAGTGTCATCCTTATCTGTCTTCATGGAGACAATCCTGTCCTACACCATGCAAATACAACATTATAATAGCATAAAGTACAGTCATTATAATAGCATAAAGGACAGTCATTATAACAGCATAAAGGACAGTCATTATAATAGCATAAAGGAAAGTCACTATAATAGCATATATACAATGTACTCATGTAGTACAGTATAATTATATGCATGTAAATGAATGCAGAAGTACTTTGAATTTGGTGGTAAAGAGCTCTAAATGAGGGACAAGATCAGGAACAGAATATAAAGCAAGCAATGCTTGTAAAGCCTGTAGCCTTACTTCACCCGACTGTGTGTAATGTGGAGAGAAAAGGAGAGGGAGAGAGAGAGGAGTGTTAATATACAACATTATAATGTACAGCAGTTCACATGTATATATACATACATCATGTACATGACATAATTATTTTATTTCTAATCTAAATCTCACTTTATCTGAGAGAGTCCATCCAACATATTTGAGATAATTGTCTGATAAGAATCTTGAGCTGCACCTCAACATCCAGACTCCAATCTCAGCGATACAGATTGCCCTAACTTCGGGTCGAGTATCACGATATCGACGTATAAAAACAGACGTGAACAGGTTGTTCATTATATCATGGATCTCGCTCAGCTGTGACTGAGATAATGCTAGGGCTTCCTCGAGTTTTTTAAGTTTTCCGATCGCCTGACGTCCACCTGACTTTCGCTTTTCAGTTTCGAGCTGACGCTAAAAAGAATAATTAATAAACAAAGAAATAAATAAATAAATAATAACATGATTAATAGTTGTTATACCTGGGTATTGTCAATCTCAGAAGCTAATGATACGACTAAATGAACCAACCCAGTGACTAGCTTCAAACCTTTTAAAATAAAGAGAGAGTTTATGAAAAGAGAAAGAGGAGAGAGAGAGAGAGAGAGAGAGAGGTGGTCTGTGTCTTACATGCTAAAGTGCTCGTGTGTCTAAATGCTCTAACTTCAGAATCACTCAGTCCGATCAGCCATTTGACGAGAGTGTCAAGCATGTACTCGTCATAAATGATGTCACCAGTTTCTATCACTAACCTCTCAACAAATTCACAATAATTAGACTGAGAAAGAGGGGGAGGGGGGTGGAAGAAAAAAGGAAATAATTAAACATTACATGTACATGTAAAAGTTTTACTTTAAACTTTTTGTACAGAGGTCCGGAAAGTATCAGAGGATAATCAAACCCATCCTATTAACAATAATAATAATAATAATAAATATTAATAATAATGAACTACCTCGTCAAAATTCTCAGTGATAGTCCTAATGATGTCAGTAGCTTCTTGATGGCGGAAATTAGAGAGAGATATCTCGGCCTGACAGCCGCAACATCTCACAAAAAACTGTATTATTTCTAATAGCCCTGCCTCCTGGTCGCCTTGGTAACGCTCCACCCATTCACTAACAACCGTCTATAGACAAATGTTCATATTAATTAGTGGGTGTGGTCACTGACCTGTAGGGCACTCCTTCCTTCAACGATAGAAGTGTATAATTCTCCATCTGTTGCTGCTGATACTGATACTTGGCGGGTTTTCTTAGGGGTGGGGTTCTGTGTATCAAACCACACCCACATAATCAATCAATTAATTACAAAATTAACATACGCCTTTATTGGCTGATAAAGGAGGACGTCCTCTTTTCCTCTTCACTGGAGTATCGCTTGTGATCCTACAAGTAATAGACAATCACATTACGCTATTGCTAAACTGTCTTACGATTCTTCAAGAGTAAGGTTTGCAGTAGTATCAGTAGCAGCTGTAGCGTCCTGGTACTAAAGGCAGGGATGAATTGAAAAGAAAATGGTGCCTACCTCACTCTCCATAAGAGTCTCGTTTTCTTTCTCTTCTCCTCCATCTTCCCCCAAAGTATCTGCTGAAGTCTCTATTAAAGTTTCCATACTCTCTTCCTCCATTTTCCCGCCAAATACACTTGACTTGATGACTTAATTGATTAGTGATGGGTGTCGTCACTTGGGTTATTTATAGGCGTGGCTGGAAACGCCTTTTTAAGATGGCGGCCGATGAGGAAGAACAAGATTTGTTCAATTTTCCTCCCAGACCTCATACAGCCCTCGGGTCTTTGCACTCCTCTAGGTATTAGAAAACATTTTCTTGACGCACAATTCTCTTTTATACCCTCTCTTTCTCTCTAGTATTAGGATCACTGAGAGTGAATTATTGTTTGGACACAATCCTGTACCTTTAGCAAGCAGATCACAGCCTGTATCATCACCTGACAACCAGTTTCTCTCTCAACAGAAACTGGTAATTAATAATATGTCAATAATGAATGCATAGTACTATACTACCTATCTGCAATCTTAGTACATGTACTACTCTTGTACATGTACATGTGTAGGTAGTATGTTCATTGTGTAGTACCACACATGTACTTATGACCCATCTCTTCTTCCTCCTCTATCTCTTTTGTCCTGTTTATTTCAGAGAGATATTGCTGGGGTCCATGACCTCTCTAAAGTGATGTATCTCGAACTCTCTGTCAACACGTCCACCACAAGTCTCGGGAACTTTGGCTACTACTTGACGCAGCTAAACCAGTTGAGACTTTATTCAAGTCGTGTCCCGTCCATAAGAGACTTGGGTACGTCCCTCAGTCAGCTCAAAGTCCTTTGGATGGCCAGCTGCCACTTGAAGGATTTGGATGGACTTGCAGCTCTTCCTAGTTTACAAGTTAGGCTGAGGGAGGGGGTGGGGAGATGAAAATGGATATTATTATTTATCGGTGAATTTCTTTCCTCAGGAATTATATGTAGCAAATAATAATATAAAGGATATAAGTTTGATTTCTCTATTGACTGATTTGGAAATACTTGACATTGAAAGGTATATACACATGATACCAAAACCACTCAGTCAAAAATTCCCTAAATTTTATCCATGCGCCATGTGTGATTGTGCATAACACAATGATTAATTTGTGTATACGTATTTTATTACCAGGAATTTCCTTAATGAAGAAGACCAATTAGGATACTTATGTCTTTGTCCCCAACTCTCTAATCTCACCCTTTCTGGCAACCCGGTCTCTCACACTCTCTCGGCCACGCCCACTGGCTATAGAGCTGCAGTTCGTAAGTACATCCCTCACTTGAAGTGTTTAGATGAAGTCCCGTACGAAGACATCGATTTGGAGAGCTCAGCATCTTCTGCTCTTCTGTCTCCAAGTTTGGTGGAGGGGTGGAGGAAGATGAGTAAGGGAAAAGGGATCAGTCCATTGAAACTACAGAGCAGAGGTAACCATGATCATAATACATATCATATTCTTAGCATTCTATCAAGAGGTATATGTCTACTCAATACAGATCATGTAGCTAAGATATTTGCATAATCATAAATTCCTTAGTATCCCCTTTCTTTCTAGTTCATGGCGGTGCAAGTGTTAAGGAAGACAGCAGTGACTTGACTCACGGGGTTAATCAGGTCATTTGTGGTAATCCTGTACGAGCATTGAAGGCCAGACAGCAATCAATTATTCAGGTAATTTGTAACAAAAAGAGCAGCTGTGAAATGACTAAAGGGCAGTAAAGGTATACTATCAATCTGTCATTGTGCTGCTGTGTATATAAAACAATTATTGGATCATGTATACCAAGAGTACATGTACTCTTGTGTATACTGTAGTATAAGTCAATTATTGAGTGTACATGTACAAATGAATCGTTAGTGTCACAGTTCAAGATTGTAATATAATTATTTCTTCCTTGTTTACAGCAACAGCACCTTCATACGCCAGAAGTGGACTCTCCGTTACATGTAACAAGGTATGATTTCATTAACACACAAATCAATTACTACTACCTCACACAGTTCAATGGAAAGGCCCACCACCATTGAGCATCCTGTGTCTCCGCCCCCTGCCCCTCCCCCTACATCTCGACCTCACACTGCATCGGATTTTAGATCAAGGCGCTATGTAAGAAACAGTACAGTTGGTTCTTTGCCTCGTAGCCGGACTATGGCTCCACATTCTCTCACTCAAGGAATGGAAGGAAAAAGAGAAGGAATAGCGACTTCTATTACACCTGTACATGCACCCAGAGTCCTTTTGACACTGAAAAAGACTTAACCTTATTATTATTATTATTATTATTATTATTATTACCTTATTATTATTATTATTATTATTATTATTATTATTATTATTGATAATAATAATTTAGACTTTTTACCACAACAGGCTAACATAACTTTATTGTGGGGAGGATAGATCTAAAAGTTATTATAATGACTTAAAAGGTTATCACTCCTTGATGACTGTCATAATAATTATCAAATTATAACAACTCGCAAAGTTTGACCTTTCTGGAGTCAGGCACATAATCGTGTATTATATTAAACTTTGCAAAACAGCTCTTTTTACTAATGATCTACTACAAAACAAAAAGCTCCAAAAACTACAAGACTATAAGTTCATTATAAAGTTCTCGGATTGCCTTTACTTAGCATACTTTTGTATCATTTCTCTAAGCTTTGCTTCATTGGCTCCTCTCATATCATCAATCTTCTTCCCATTCTTGAAAAACTGGAAAGTTGGCATAGCCTGGATGCCTTGCCTTTCGGCAGTCTCGTCATTTTTATCAACGTCGACCTTTTAAAAATTGTGTATATATAAGTGTACAGGATACAACCAGGTTCAACTCACCTTGTAAAAGTCTAAGCTGGTAAATTCCTGGGACATTGCTTCAAATTTTGGGCCGATCATCTGGCAGGGTCCACACCACGAGGCAGTGAAATCAATCACAACCACTTTATCCCCAGCGTTCTTCAAGGCCTCATCAAAATCTGCTTGAGTCTCTAAGTACTTTGGCATCTTCTTCGATAAAGACAAAGAGAGGAATAGTAAGGGACAAACTCAAGAGACGATTATAGCAGCAAGCACAAGCAGCAAAATAATTACACAAAAATTTGAGCCACGCCCAATCGTGGGCGTTTATTGTTTCATCAAACAAACATGATTAACGTACACTATAAAACAAAATTAAATTTGTGATTCAAAATTGGAAGGTTCTTTAATCAGAAGATCCCGTTCCGAAGTACCGATCACCATAATTACCAACGCCTGGTAGTATATGGTAGGAGTCGTTGACGGTCGGATCAAGAGCAGTTGTGATTATTTTAATTTGAGGAAAAGCGTAAGCAACATTCTGTATGCCTAGCTTAGAGGCAATGATCGATACAAAGAGGATCCTCTCCTGAGGGACATCATGATCCTGAGAGAGAGGAAGAGAGGAGTATTATTATCTCGAGGAAGTGTATGATGATACTGCTTACCAGTAGGACTCTTATTGCCATGATGGCTGCGGCACCAGTGGCCACTGTAGCGTCCATCAGGATGACATGGGAGCTGGAAATATCACCAGGCAGACGCAGGAAATGAAGCTAAAATAAAATAATAATAAATAAAAATAATAATGATAATAATAGAAAATTGATTCCATATGTGTGTGTGAGGCAGAGGTCACATTCTTATCAGTTGGGCTATAATCAAATTAAAATCTTACAATAATTGTTTGACTTGTGGGCCAACAATCTTGACAGAGTGCCACAATGTGTAGTACTCATCCACACACATTGAATAAAAGAATGAATGAAGTAACAATTAACACAATACATGCAGTGAACAATGATACATAATGCACATGTACATAATATATAATAGATGGATGTGTGTATTATTAATACTTCAGGGTTTTCAGTTTGGTCGTTCGTTTGAATTAGTATCTTTCCAATCGTCACATCCTTACAGACAGACATCAGGGCTGGCTCTAAAACCTCACCAGCTCTTAAAATAGTCACACCACACAACTAGGAGAGGAGAGAGAGATCAATGTTGTCCGACTTATTGTAGCTCACTTTTCCAGTGAATTTCTTTCCATTATAAGGTACACCTTGAGGTGTATCAATAGTGTAATCCTGTGGAAGAAGTACAGAGTTGTAAGAGAGTGAGAAGAGATTGGAGGGTTGATTGATTATAAGATATTTACTTCGAATGGTAAGAAAGACAGCGAGTACTCAATCACAAGGCAAGCTAAACGATTTGTCATGAATACAAAATCATCTCTATTGCTGTCCTTATTCCTATGCATAGAAATAAAGAGAAACAAAATGAATAGAAATTCAAATGATTTTTTGTGATTTCTCCATTTTTATAATTTTTTTTCTGATACATATACATGTTTTGATGCTGTATATCTAGTTTGGACTGATTCTGATCAAAATTAGATTTTTTTATAAATTTTAAAAGTTGGTAAAAAATCTGGCCAGTGACCATACATGTACGTGTACATCCATTAGACCTCACCTTATTATAGTGTGCATTCCACAGACTTGCTTTGTCTCTGGTAATATCTTAAGTGAGTCATGATCTACTGACGCCTGCTCTGATAACAACTTTGATCTATTTTTAATTTAAAATGCGATATTTGTAACAAAGCATATCACGTTATACCTGACATCAAAACCTCTCTAAAAATAAAATAATAATAATAAAATGTCTTCTTTCTCTTCTTCTCTCTTACCTGGTGTAGCCTGTCCTTGACATGCTGTACTATTAGTTGTATGGCTACAGTGTTCTCTCCTCCTGATAGCAGACAATAATTGGAATAAGTAAAGCATCAACATACAAGTACATGTACCTCTTGGTACAACAATGTGAGCGTATTGCAGTGAAGGCTCAATGTATTGCTGAAAAGCCTAACAAAAAATAATAATAATAAATCATACAATAAGGAGAATGTTATCATCATTAATTTGAAGCTACATGTACATGTACATATACTTTACAAAATAATTTTCAAAACTTTCTGAGCCTCAAGTACATGTACATGAACTAGGCTAACAAACTGTTGCTCCACTGCAAGGAGACGTGACCTCATTTATGTGCATGTACATCAGACTAACAATTACAACAGCTTACAGGTTTCACGTAAGTATTATACTGTTTCAGCACTCCTTTCAGGTCCCTGCCTCTCTCAGCTATGTCCCTCCTTAATCTCCTCGCCAGTCTTATGTCAGAGTCCGTATCGACAAATATTCTTAAGTCCATTAGCTCTCTCAGTTCTTTATTCACTAAACTCAATATTCCCTCAAACAATATGACATTAGCACCATACATGGTCCTCTAGGGAAGAGAGAGGGGAGAAAGATATAAATGACATGTGTATCTAGCTAAAAGAGAGAGAGGGTGTGTAAAAAGTAGAGAATATAGAGAGGCAAAGTGAAATATAAAGTTTTACTGAGTATTTAGCTCTACTGTGGGTAGCAAAATCATACACTGGCACATCAACTCTCTTCCCATTTTTTAAATTTCTCAATGTCGTTGCCATCAACTCGAAATCAAACGCATCTTTAAAATAAAGAAATCAAAGTCACTTATACGCACACCCTCTTCCATTTATCTTACCGGGATGATCAAAATCATACGCATTCCTAGCAGCTGCTTCATGTTGCTCGGGCGTCAGAACTTTATAAAATGAATCCATTGACAATAGCCCCACCCAATCAACATTGAGTGACTCTATGATCTTCTTAGCAACCGTCGTCTTGCCAGAGGCGCTACCCCCGGCCAGCCCTATGACAAATGCCTCCTTCCCTTGTCCTTCTGAGTCATACCACGGTGGACGACCTGCAGGTACGTGGGTAATATATTGGTACATATGTACATGTACATGAATGTATAATACCATTGGCAGTATACATGTACATGTATACAATCCAACTTTAATCGATCACCTGCTGTGTATATTGTCCTTTTTTTCTTTTTCCCAAAAGATTGATCTAGTGGCGTACTAATAAAGGAATATATACATACATATATGTATACATAAAAATTATAATAAAAATTATAATAAAAATAATTAATAAAAATACTTGTCAGTCTCCTCAGGATCAGAGTCCATGTCAGTTGATATGGACCATATTTCAGAGGAACGAGCTGCTGTAGATATCTTCCTTGAGGTCGTCATTATTTTATTATTACAACTCCTATAATTCTAAATCTATTCAACACATGAACTCATGATGGATTTCAAAATTACTTTTTATTGCCAAATTATTGGATTAATTAGAATAATCTATAACATAAATGCCTTGAGTTTATCTATAGATCTATAGATCTAGTCTTCTGTTGTCTACTATTTACTCCTACTAATGTCATTACTGATTTACTGATAAAGACAGAGGAAAACAACACACATACTCGTAGATGCATTACACTCCATTACTGTATGCATCCATGAATGCAGCAGCTGAAAGACAATGAGCCCCGCCTACTTTTATACTAATTAACCTAATTAGCCCGTGCTTGACAGTGAGTTTAGGAAGAGAAGCTCAAAGCAAAGTGAAGAAAGGAGGAAGAACAATAGCAAAAAGACCATGAAGCTACTTACCTATAATATGGGTGGTCTTTTATTGGAGAATTATACTGCTCGGCTAGAGGCACTGGGGCGACTAGTTCTTAGCAAGAAACCTGAATTCATAGCACTTCAGAACATGACAATTGATGGAATAAAGACACTGAGGACTCTCCCGTGGGCGACAAGATACAACACTATCCTCTCTCCGCCTGCTTCCTTCGAGAATAGAAAGAAATCCAAGTGTGTCATAATGTCAATATATTCTACAGACCAGAAGCTGAACGAGTTTACCTACAGAGACCCTGATACAGACAGGCACCTACTGTGGGTCGACTTTATCCTTAATGACAAGTACAAGCAGCCCTACAAACTGACCATAGGCACGACAGAGATCGCCATTGGTACTCCGACTGAAGTAATGGAGAAGTACATCAACCAGGCTCTGTTTGTGTCTCAGTCGCACGAGGATTGTTTCATAATGGGGGACTTTGCAATCTGTGAGCCGCTCAATGGGGTCCTGAATCTTAACGGTAACTGGAAAGACGCTTGGGAGGAGATAAATGAGACTGAGTCAGCCTCTTTGGGTAGCGGGCACTCTCTCGACCCTCCTAATAACTCACTCATTAAAGAGAAGACTCTCCCAAGCTTTAGACCCGATAGATTCATTTATAATACTCGACGATATAAAGTCGTGAGTATTGAGCTTGTGGGTATGTCTCCAGACGAGGTCCTTGGGACTCACATCAGCAACCATTATGGAGTAATGGCGTCGTTTGCTTTGCTTGATCCCCCTCTCCCTCTCGTTCCCCCTCCTGATGTCCCTTGCTCTTTCGAGGAACAGAAACAAGAATAAAATAATATATAAATGAAGAAAGACTTAATCACATTAATAAATTAATAATCTGAACTATTTTTAAGAGAAAGACTATTATAAATAATATTCTGTTTGGTATGTTTGCCCTTTTAGATTTGTTTGTTTTTCTTTCACTGTCTCTCTCTTGTGTTAATCATCCACTTTATTGAATCATTTTTCTCCCTTTTATAAACCAAGCATACCAATGGCAGCATCCAGTTATCAATAGCAATACATACCATGCCAATAACAATTCATACCATTTACTACATGCACACACAACAATAGGAGGAATAGAGAGAGAAGAATGAGCACTACAATTCTACAAAGCTAAGATATATCAACTTACACTACTACTGTAATAATTATTATAGGATTATAGTACTATTTTAAAATAATGATAAAAATGTTGTAATTATTGCAATTCTATATCATTCTCCCGCTCTTAATGTGTCAGAGTTCAGGATAGATGGCTAGTGTCAATCGCCAGCCATCCCTTCCCAGTAAATGCATTAAGAATGATTGTACATACCATGTACAATTGTACATAAATGTATACATATAGTGTGTGTACATCTAAGTGTGAGTTGTGGGTGTACTTAAAATAATGTTTTTGATTTCTTGTTATTTGCTCCTCCACTCATTTGGAGTCTGATTGCTGTCTTTGTCTTGTACTGTAGATCAAGGAGTGTGTGTTCCAACAGGCCAATCTGTACATCCATCTCAGTACACTCTTCCTTTAGTTTAGTTAATGCTTGCTTTATACGTACAACTGGGCCTATGGGGATTAAGAGACCACGTACATGTGTCATATGTGATAATCATAACGACCATTGCTCACCTGCATCCGTCATGCTGGTGCCCTTTTCATCCATTTCAGCTTTCACTAATTCTAACTGAGCAGATATCTAGAAAGAGAGAGAGAGAAAGAGAGAGAGAGAAAGAGAGAGAGAGAGAGAAAGAGAGAGGGAGAGAAAGAGATAATTAAAGAAGATGTAACCCTCTCCACCTGCAATAACCTATAGTTCAAACCCAAACCCACAAACATTAACCATGCCTACATGTACATGTACATATTACATGAACAAGTATTATGTACCAGTACCAGTACCTCTGCTAGTCTTTGGGAAAGGTCATTGACACTATGACTGCTTTGCTTGTACTCATTCCTAGCAGATGAGAGCTTGTCTTGTGATGAACGAAACATCAAGACTTGTGATTCTAACTACAGATACATGTACATTGTACAAAAGGAAAGATAGTAAGAACAACATGTAGACACCAACAGAAAAATAAAAAGAAAGAAAGAGAAGCAAAGGATGTACGGCAGATCTTTTTCTTTTCATACTTGTTGATTTATGTATTTCTCTCTTGAGCCAATTTTTTCAAGAGTTTTGGTGATTTCTGTATGAAGCTTATCCAAATGAATCTAAAGAAAGCACAACAGAAAATTACTGTACATGTACATGTATACTGTATACTGTGGTAGTACAAAATGTGCATGTGCATGTACATGTGTAAATTAGACAATGAAAGAGTTGAATAGAATGAGAGAAGTGTAAATGGTAGGAATAGCTATACCTTGGTATCTGATAGAACAGTTTTAATATTATCGTGATAATTGTGCATTTGCTCATAATGAAGCCTCCAGTCTCTATTGTCACTTCTGTAATGAACTTTAAGAGATGGTAAGACTCTCTCAACCTCTTGTCTCCACTCCTCAGGGTCTACTGTGTTCTCCATTGCATCTTCAAGCACCTCTTTAGCCTGCAACTGTAACAAAAAGAAAAAACATATACATGTATGGACAATGTACATACGTGTGTAATTATAATAAAAATATGATCTTTACTTCTTTGAATTGGTCGTGCTCGCTTAAGTTAAGATCCAGGAATATTGCCCCACCCCCTGCCCCACCCTCTTCATCACTCATATCATCAACGTCTTCTTGAATCTCCTCCTCCATCTTTGATAGAGATACCTCTTCAGGGCCATCTTGAACTGATGCTTCTTCCTGGCCTGTCTCCTCTGGATACACTGGCCTATATTAAAGAGGAGAACATGGACGTACTAGCTAGATCTAATTATAATTACTTTTCCCAGCTAAAGCGAGATCTCTCAAGAGCTTTATCCACCAACTGACTCAGTACATTACAAACCTACAGTACAAGATGTACGTATGCATGATTACTATTATTGTCTTTTAGTATTATTTATTATTCTGACCTGCTCTCCAGAGCCCGTTTTCAATTTCATTGGTGGAAAATTGGTCGGGACACCCTTTGTAAAGTAGAGATACAGTCAAATGACATGTACATGTACATGTAGTATAATATCTTACTAGTTTCTTTGCTTCAGCAATGATGGTAGCTATTGTAGCATTAGGATCATCATACTGTGTACAAATAGAAATGAAACAGAAAGATGGAAATATACTATTTACTTCTTGTGGTTGCTCTAAATGTGATCCACACAGGTTCAGTAGCCAGACTGATAGATTAGTGAATGCATGGAACTGCTCACCAGAATTAGTAGCTATAGCAAAATAATGCCTAGAGAAAAAAAAGAGTAGGATTTAGGATTAAAAATAATAAAAATATTGGTGATTTTCTACCTTGGTATTGGTCTAAATTTCAGCTTTTGACAAAAATTCTTCTCATATCCTAATATCTTTAATTTATCAATGGCTTCCTCTATCCTCAGAGTGATCAGGTGAGAGAGAAGAGGAGATTGACTCTCTCCCTCTCCCTCCATCTTTTATTATTATGTGTACCAATAACATGTGTCACCATGGTAACAATGTTCATGACGTCAGGAGGCGGGATTCACCAAATTAGTGGGCGTGTCTAGATCTGTATGGGCGTGGTTTAATGGAGGCATGTGCTTTTACATGCTTTAGCTTCTTTTTCGTTTTCTTGAGAAAAGAACGTGAGTTATAGACGTTAGAATGAGTTGGTCTGAAGAAGCAGTTGGACGGCACATTGCTGCAATAAAGTCCAGGGCTAAGAGCAAGGAAGAGGTGAGTGAATATTATAATTTCTAAAATAATAATTCATTTTTTCCACAGCTTAAGCTCCAAGGCTACACTTTAGCTCAATTGTGCTTAAAAGCAAAGCTCTATAGCCCAGCAATAGGGTAAGCAAGGAGACGTACATGTAATATTAAACGTTTATGATATTTGAACTTACTTAATCATGTACAATGTACTATAAATGATTGCTTGTAATTGTGGCAACTTAATATTAATGATTTTGATTTCAATCGCTGATTATGGAAGTGAAATGCTAGTTTATTCTTGTCTGGGGTCGATTAATTTAATATAATTATAAATGCAATACATAATTATTGTTTTACAGGTATCTAAGTGAGTATTTATCAATGAAGTCTGACGATTACAAAGCTCACAAGTTATTGGGAGAAGTTTATAAATGTAAAGACGAGACTGAACGTGCACTGGTCGCTTATAAGAGGTGTCATGTGACTGTCACGTGACTTTAATAATTATTATTTAATTGTAGGTCATTGTATTTCAAAAAGGATCAACCTGACGTTGTAATATCAAGTTAGTTATAACTAGTTATTAAGTGATTGAGGTGGGTGGGGTTTTTGTAGTTGGCGAATTGTATTGCGAAAGAGACGATGTGTCAGAAAATGAATTAAAAGTATAATTATAATCTATTATTATTATTTATATTATTTTTATTTTTATTATTATTTTAAAGGAATGGATTGAGCATGTTAAGAAATATCACCAAAATCATCCTGTCATAGCGAAGCTGAAAGTGGGTTCGGCTTTTGGGGTGTGGCCTAATTTTTATGCTTGTTTCCATAGGGAAAGCTAGTTGCGAATAGCAATAATGCTGGAGATGAACTGGTTTTAGAAATTATTGTAAGTAATTTAATTTAACCGTTATTATTAAAGATTTAATTGCTGCACTATTTGAAATAATTGTTAAAAATATGTTTATTTATACACGTATATGTAATGTATGGTACAATTATAATTGTACATGTACATTGTTGTATTTATTATTATTTTATGTAGGGAGGGATGGAGGAAGGCAGTGAAGATCCTTTGGTTTTAATGAAATTAGCAGAAAGATTTTTAGACCAAGGTATTACTAGTATCTATTCTTTATCTATTCTTTCTCTCTTCCTACATGTACAGTATTGGCTTCATGTCTGCATTAGTTCGACTTTAAAAATTCATAAAAAATCCAAATGTGATCGGAATCATCTCAAACTACATACATAACATAAGAACATGTATATGTATCAGAAAAAAATTATTAAAATGGAGAATTCTCTCTTAGTCATTTTTGGTGAAATTTGACCAAAATCCCTGTACTATAGTACAGGGACTTTGGCCTGATTTTGGAGCAACTTAAAAAATTCATAAAAAATCTAAATTTGATCGGAATCATCTCAAAATTGAAATGCAACATAAGAACATGTATATACATCAGATAAAATTATTAAAATGAAGATTTCTCTCTTTGCGATTTTTGACAATTTACCCTGTACCTCCATTTTTTTCTCTCTCGTCAGGTTGTCTGAATGAGTCCTATGGATTATTCAAAAGGTTTCGTTACAATAAAACTAACAGAAACAAAGTGGAACTGATGAGATTATTTATGGACTATCTTGAGGTACAGCTGTATGTACATGTACATTCCAAATTATAATAATTATTGCTATTTTTGTTCATAGAAATTATTAGGACTCTTATCAACTGATAAAGGTACTGTATCTCCTCATGATTTTTATTATAAGAAACAGAATCTATTTTAATTTTTACTTTTTATTTTGTGTTGTTCCCTATAGGTTTGCTGATATTGTATGTTTCAATTTCATTGCTGGAGACAATCATTGAAATATTTAACATTGAAATGATGAATGAGCATAAACACAAAACAACCGGTCAAAAATTAATACAATACTTGATAAAGTAAATAAAATTTGATACGCAAATTCTTTTTTTTCTTCTTTATGCATATAACATTATTGCTTCTTTTACTGCTGTATGTATCTCTGATTCTCTTAACCATTTCTTTCTCCCTCTCTCTCTCTCTCTCTCCCTCTCTTCTAGATATGATCATATTCTATACAAGGTTCTTTCTTTATCAAGTACAGCTGATGTTCGAAAGCTCTTGACTCAAGCAATGGAAGAAGTGCTAGGAGAGCTACAGTCTCACTGTTACTTCCTCCTCTCACAATACTTCTTCTCTTTCTGTTCTCCAAATAAAGCAAGTCTCATTTTATTACTTAAAATATATTTTATTTAATGTTTAGTTTGAATTGGGTGTGGCTTGTCTCTTAGCAACACTCAAGACTCCGCCTCTTAATATTGAATTATTTAACGAGCTCCCTCAGTCCCAGTATGATGAAATGGATCGTTGGTATCATAAAGGAGGAGCAAGACTATCAACAGCTGGTGAGTAAGGTCTATATTGTACATGTAATTATGTATTACGTAAACATTTTGTGAAGGTGCTCAAAGAAATTCCAATGTAAAATACTTCCTTGTATTGCCCCACCCAAAAATTATTGACTGGTTATTGTAGTACTATTTTTAGATTTTAAAAAATTCTAAATAAATCATACTGCTATACTGTTTTTCTACTGAATAGTGATGCATTACATGCTCAGCAATGCACACTCTAAGTTATTTCCAACTACAATTACTTAACTAATGTTATTTACTAACAGTTATGCTACATTGTGCTAAACATATCAAATCACAGCTCCAAGTTAATTCTCAATTGCAAAATGAATATTACCACTGCCAGATATTCCACTTGCTATTCGCCTCTCAAGCAAAGCTCTCTTCATGGCAGCACATCTTTGAAAGTAAAATGAAAAGTATTTTACATAATCAGACTCTTACTCTGAGCAGTAAACCCCATTTTCAAGATTAGTGTCTTTTGGTACTAGTTTAATGTCACCACAATTTCTGCAGATAGCACTCTGTAAATGAATGATTAACTAGCATTTTTAATTCTCTTACCTTTTTTTCAACTTGATTGTAAACATCGGCACATCTAATAAAGGAATGATAAGAAAAAGCTACATGTACATTTGTGTATATACATGTACTTACTTATTGCAATGTGGGCGAACAAAAGGAGTCATTTCATTCTTAGGAAGAGTAGCACCTTTGATGATTCGTTTACAACTTGCGCAAATAACATTCTGGGGTGCGTTGGACCCCTCTTGATCAACTCTGCTTTCAGAAGTACCCATTTGTCTCTGTGTGAAGCCGGGCCTGCTTTAAGTGTGGGCCTGCTTTAAGTGTGGGCCTGCTTTAAGTCTGTGCACCTGGATTATTAAGAAGTCACATTCCGCATACTTCAGTAGTTTTCAATCAATGTTAATACAGATGTGTTGTTATAACAACATTATCATTGATAATATACAGAAGTATGCCAAATGTGACTTCTTATTTCTTAATACTTTATAGGGGTTATATTTCACTGGTAATAAATTTCTCGTTTTCATTAAATTCGCAAAATTAAATTCCACAAAAGAGGTGTGGCACACTAGGAAAAATGGCTGCAGAAAGTAAGATTTGTGACAATTTATACCAACAAATGGCAAATCTGGACAAATTTGCGAAATTTTATACCAACAAAATAAAACCTTTATATGGTACCTTATAGTGGTTTGTTAGGATAGTAATTTTCACAAATGACCTGTGTCCAGAGGTTTGTGGAATTAATTTTTGCAAATTTCCATTATTCTGCCATCTTATACTGTATTAAATTGTTTTCCAAGAAATTTAATTTTGAAAAATTTGTTATCCTCAAAAAAACCTGCTATACAGTAATCCACACACTTGCAGTAGCTGATATGGGCCCTTTGTATGCTCTCTTTTGGTATTATTTACTCTTGCTATGGATAATGAGTTTAATAGCATCTAATAATAAGAGTACTATTGACATTTATCCCTTCTATTGTGTATTGTGATTTGTGATTACTCACAGTGGGAATATTTATACAGTACGTCAAATGTGTTGCAAATTGTTTATAGAAATAGCAAAATTATTACTGGCATAAATTAGAACACATTGAAGAGTCTATGAAGAAGTCTCACGTAATTATTATTAGTTAAATGTGTAGCACTTTTTGTAAGAACTGCAACAGAGCCAAGATGCTTAAAAGCCTTTAGACCATTATTGTGGTGTCTGTGATTTTCAGTATTACATGTAAATATAATATATTATGAAGAAAAGAGATGGGAGAGAGTCATTCTCTATCTCTCTCTTTATCTAATAGAATACACCCTGCAAACTTTTACTATAACTTTTAAAGGTTCTTCAATAAGCAGTCATTTATATGCTGTGACTGCACTACTTTGTTTCGTCATTACATATTGTAAATATTGAGTTCTACTCTAGTCGACAGGAGTTATGCATAGTGCTACCAACTTGAGTGTGTGTGTGTGTGCTTTTTCCTTATAAGGTGCAAAAACACTATGAATGTACCAATGTACATGTATTGTCACTTTACCCATTCTACAATTGTTCATGATTGGTTACTCTTGAAAGTTATTTTATGTGTCAATTTTACAGGTATATTTCTGTCTCTAACATACATGTATATAATGTAATGCCTGCACTATTGGCACTACACAACTCAGAACAGTGCTATAAAGCTAGTGTGAACACAGAAATACTAGTAGTTTATTAATACTGTTTTATTGTAAGCAACAATTTCCAACTACAATTACTTAACTAATGTTATTTATTAGCAGTTATGCACATTGTGCTAATAATATAAAATCACAACACCAAGTCAATTTTCAATTGCATGAAAAGAAGTACCGCTGGATTTTCCACTTTTTATTTGCTTCTGAATATATTCTCTTTTTAAGGCAGCACAGCTTTAAAAGTGAAATGAAAAGTATTTTGTACATAATGAGATCTCTTACTCGTTACAGTAAAATCCATTTTCAAGATCAGTGTCTTTTGGCACTAGTTTAACTTCACCACATGCACGGCAGACAGCACCCTGTAAATAAATGATTAACCAGCATTTTCAATTCTCTTACTTTCTTTTCAGCTTTTTTGTAACCATCAGCACAGCTGATAAAAGAATTACAAGGAGCATTTTCAAAAAAGTATAAGCTTACCCTTCACAATTTGGGCAAACATAAGCTCCATTCTTAGCACGTGTAACATTTCTGATGACTCGTTTGCAACCCGAGCAAGTAGCATCAACTGTCACTGTGTTACCCATTGAGCAGTTTTCTTGTTGCTTTCTTTTTCTCTGTGTATTCTAATTTTGGCATAGTCTGCAGTCAAAGGACTTTTGCTCGCTGTATTACGATTTATACTGTGTGGTTTTACCCGGAAATGAATAACTATTGTAATAACCAGAGCTGGGTTATTAAAACCTACGCAAAGCTGGGCAAAGCTAATAACTAGACTTAACAGTAGAAGATTTATTTCTGTTGCAATGATAATAATTAGGATTACTCTGAATTACTTCTTTTTGATTTACAATGCTCAGTAGTGTTTGTTGTTAATTTGATAATTTTTTCTTAAAATGCATACATTGCTATGGTATTCTCAGAAGCTAATGAATATTATTGGTGGTTGCTCAGAGTATAATGTATAGCTGTTTATAACACTGGATATGTCAACAAATCTGACAATGTATCCCTAACAGTTACTAAGAAAAACACTTACTAATGGCAACAGTGATTATAAGTGTCTTGAACTAAAAGCTTTTCTGAGTAAATAGGTGTGCTGCATTACAGTACTATTTGTTTCATTAATATAGTCTGTATTGCTATTTATATAGTACTTTTACATCTACATTGTCTTGTATATAATTTAGCAAGGGTTTTTATTGATAATTAACATGTATATGTGACAGTATTATGTGTTTACCTGCATTGGTAGCCACTCAAGCATTTTTTCCTTCTTTTGACTTTCAGTATTCATCAAGATATTGCTTTGGTACAGCATGACCATTCAATTTTATAGTATCTGCCATAATTTTCAAAGCTTTGTAATCTTTATCTCCCATGTGAATTCTCATTTTGTGAATGCAACTGTGCATAAAATTTTCATGATAACAATTTTTATGTTATTACTGTTGTCACTTACACTTCGCAAAGGAAGAATCCATCTTTTTCACAATCATAGTCCTGCTTAACTATCGCTTTACAGCAACCACACTGGTTTGACTAAGTAAAAAGAGCCTACCATTATTCTATCTTAATTCAAACGGCTTGTCTAAACCACCTCAGGTTTAAACTGGTTTAATTGCAGTGTAGCTGCTTCAGCAGCTATACTTACATATGTATGTAAGTAAAATGGTTTCTGTACATTGAACTTGCATGTTTTGCAGTCCTTTGGCTCTTGCTCTCACTCTCACTCTTGGGTCTTGCACAGCTACATGTATTATGATAAAGACTTAGCAAAAGATAGCTTTAATGTTACTTACTCATCACACTTGACTTTTTTATCAATGAATATTCCAGCACCTTGTATTATGCAATTACAATTCATACACTTCTTGTTTGCAACTGCTCCTAGTCCGGCTCCCATGATTGTTATCGTCAAATGTAGACAAAAACTTACTAGAGCTTCTATTCATACTCTAGCTGTGGCTTAGCACGAAAATAATTTATAGTAACCAAACCTGTATGGTGCCTACATTTGTATTTCTCATTGTATTGACCAATCAGATTGCTTGATTTCTGGTTTGTAAAGAGTTTTCCTAGAAGGTTAATAGTAATGCAGGTTAATAACTAGCCCAAAAGTGATGAAGGTCATAGATACCTCCACCTTGTTGTACCATACAGTGCAGGGCTGTAAATTTCATCAATTTTGAGATTATTTAAAAATTCATGAAAGTTAATTTATTATAGTACAAGATGGCACACAATATAATTTGATAGCAAAGCTATGTTTGACTATCAACAGCTGGTGAATGAGTAAGTGTAGTATAGCATGAAAGTTTTATGAGGACTTTATTTTGCAATGGCAATATACGTTATTATTGAATAATGGACAATATTTAATAATTGTACTAGCTAAGTCTACATGTACATATACATAATGTTTAGTTATTTAAAGCCAATCGCTGCTGATATTTTGGCCAATCTTCAGGAGGAGCTTCTAGCATCTTCTCTAATGCTTTCATTCTGAACATGCGATAATCTCCTGCGCACCTATGAAAAAAACATTAGGTAGATTATTATATCATCAATTACTTACTGGTCACAAAGACATTTGCCTTCTTTTTTAAAATATCCTTTTACTTTTATAATAGAGCGACAATCATCACATATAACACTCTGCAAAAGAAGTTTTGCATGATTCAGTTAATATCATGTTTGTAAACATAATTTCGGCAAGTATTTTTATACTAGTACAATTTTACCTTGTCACTCTCATTCACTTTTCTTTCGTATTCCTGTTGATCCACTCTCCATTGATGTTCCCATTCATCCTTTTTCCTTTGGTGTTTTAATTCATCTGCTTTCCTTTGGCATTCCAATTCATCTATCCTCCTTTGACGCTTAAATTCATTCAGTTTTTTTTGACGTTCCCATTCATCCAATCTCCTTTGACGTTCTAATTCATCTGCCTTTCTTTGGCGTTCCAAGTCCTCCGCTTTCTCCTGGCGCTCCAACTCATCAAGATACTGCTGTGGTACAGTATAGCCATTAAACATTATGGTGTCTGTCATAGCTTTCAGAGCTTTGCTATCTTTGTTTCGGATGTAAGATCTAGCATTCTCACTGCAACTGTAAGTAAGAATTAATAAGATAGCTATACTCATAGTGTCATTGCCTTACACATCACAAAGGTAGCATCCAGTTCTCTGCATGTAGTTATACTTCAGATTATCTACCTTCCTGCAGCAGGCACAAGTTTTTGGCTAAACAAGGAGATACTAGTTAATTATTAATATTTATAATAACTTACATATACAACTCCTCTCTTGATCCTTGCACAGCTATCACGATAAAGAATTAATAATAAACATACATATAGCTATTATAGTTATATGTGTATATGTTACTCACTCATCACACTTGATATCACCAGAGAATATTCCTGCATTTCGTACTCTACAGAAGCAATCAGTACAGCGTTTGGTAACTGATACCATGATTCTATTGTGATCTGCAGACAAAGGATTCTCTAGCTCTTCTGTTTGTTCTTTTGCAGCATCGAAATTTATACTGTGTGGTTTTTACCCGGAAATACTTATTAGAATACGTAATGATGCGTATTAGTAGAAACCAAACAAAATCTTAATTAATAAAATAATATATTTTTCCTATTACATGTTCAGTACATTCCAGAATTAATCTGCCTTCAATTTACTTGTTCCTTGTTTATAATTTGTCAGAAGTTGAACTGTGATGCTGTGCATCATATCTACATGTACGCGTCTTGTATTTTGTGGTATTTCTCAGAAATTTGTGAATATTATTTTGTGGTTGCTGAGATTATATATAACATAGAAACTGCTGTGTATTCTACCAAAGGACATTTCTTATGATTCAATGCACTTACTAAGAAAAGTACTTTACCAATAGCAACAAGACTTGCCTATAGCTACTAGCAGTGGCGGAGCTGGAACTAAACTGATGCCCGGGCCCGGATGTGGGTGTGTCCTGTTTTTAGCTTTTTCCATAGATGCTTTTTAATTTTCTTTGGGTATTTTACTTGAAAATGCTTGCTAATTGCTTATATGCACCTGTATGCACTTGTTAGTACTCTGGTGAGGCTTGTGCTTGGCTTTATCTAAACTTTGGGCAAGAAATTGTTTACATTGCATCTAATGAATCTCATTACAGAGCTTTGATGCCCGGGCCTAGGCCCGTGTGGGCCCGGGTTCAGCTCCGCCACTGGCTACTAGTAAGAACTTTCTTATTAATAAAAGATTATTAGTAGCAAAAAGGACTATGAATCCTTGTAACTGAACACCTGAGCCAACATAGCTTCATATCGCTATTATAATGCATATGCCACTAGCACAGCTCCATATCGCTAGTATAGCACAACACGTCTATATCCGATATCATACAAGTGATGCTACATCTACTTGGCCCTTAGTACTAATAATTTCAGTATACTTGTATATTTATTCAATATAGTTTTTATGTCAGTATAGTCACTGAATTAATTTGTCTGGCTAACTTTGCCAGAACTGGTTATTGTTGGCTACAAACAACTTGTCATCATTGTTTATTTGTTACTTGATTCCAATAAACATGTTTATCATTAGTTTTTTTATTTCTTGTCATTTAGTTCGAGAGTTACAATTATTATTAAAAGAGAAAGGAGTGAATGATGTTACTGACTGTATCAAGAAATCATCAGATGAGCTGAGGAAAGCATTACATCAGGTGACAATCACATGACTATCACATTACATGTACCTCTCCTACAGTTGTCCAGGAGTTATGATAGAAGGAAGTCATTCATAGCACATGATAATACTCTATCATCATTGAAACCAGCACTACTGGTAGATCAGTATAAGGAAAATACTTCTTTCAATCTACAGTGTGACCTTAGTAAGATTAATAGAGAGTGAACATGGGGGATGTGAATATTATTGTTTTTGAAAAAGAAATACAGAATATACATTTACATGTACATAGAAGAAGTGTAGACATACAAATGTACATGTATTATATGTTTCTATTTGTTCATTGTTAGTATATATTGATGAATACAGTGAAGTATTATCAGCTCTTGTCTGGTTGTCTTTGGTCTATAAATCAGTTGATACCACCATACCTTGTAAGTACATTATATTCTACACATGTACATGTACTCATGTCTCTTTCTTGCTGTACCACTCTTTTGTTCTTTAGTTGATGACTGGTTTAGTATTAAGTTATTCCCATCATTACAACAGCCCACACCAATGCTGAGCAAAACTGACACCTCTGCACTCTGTCACTATGATATTGAAGTGGGTTTACATGTTCCTGTTGCTTAAAATAGTTCATGATCATTTGTTTTTAATAGGCGCTCCTAGTTCTATCAATGAATTGGTTTATGGAGTCACATGATGTCCAGTCACATGACTTGTCCTCTCTACTGGTTGATAAAGGACTCTCATGGTCGCTGATAGCCTTACCTGATCATTATAATACCATATATGGTAACATTAGGAGACTACATGATAAGAACATAAGGTATTGAATGCAAGATATGTGTCATTGTAATTATTATTGTCATGTGATTATATATGGCATTAATGATTCATACTTATTTTCACATGCACACACTTTATGTCATTAATGAATTATGCTTATTCTCTCACTCACAGTTACTTGTATGTGGTCTACAGTTATGTGTACTTACACAATGTACTCTTTCCCTCTCTCAATCTCCCTCCCTCTTTCCCTTCTATAGTATCAGTGAAGGTTTGATAATTAAGAAAAGTATCAGTTCATTCCTTTCAGAGTTTCGCTGTCATCCTCCATACCTCCTCAATGTCACTCAAGTACTGACACTAGCAAGACACTTCCAAAATAAAGTATACACACACTCTCTATCTCCTACTCCCTCCTATTCTCCTTGCACTAGTACATGTACATACTAATGTATCTTCTTCTTTGATTACTGCTATTACTTGTCCTCTTATTGTTCTTCTAATATTTTACATTGCACTTTCTTCTTTGCCCCCCCCCCTCTCTCTCTCTCTTTCATTAGGCTGAAAGCTTAGTCAGTATACCTGGTTATGATAGAGACTCAATAACTGTTAGTACTACATGTACATGTACCTTCCCTTAAGATTGAATTATTATACTATTCTGTATACCTTTCTGTAGGTGCTCGTTAAATGGAGTAGTCACTATTGGTCGGTTCTGTTGAATGAATATGTTGGAAAACCAACCGGACACACTCCAAAGAGACAACAGAAGCCTCAAAAGGGAGCGGTTTACTCCTCCCCCTTTAGGAACAAGGGATCACCTCAACTGCTGTCCACCCACTCACCTTTAAGAACAAGTAAAGGAGAGAAGGAGGAGGAGGAGGAGTGAAATTAGAATAGATAGAGATAGACAAGAGGGAGGAGCTTAGTTGTTATTATTATCATTCTATTTTTATCCTTTTCTTCTATTTTTAGAAGACAAGGGGGTACTAAGTGATGAGGAGAAGGATGAGTGTTACATGTCACTGGCCAGTTGTGCCATGTATCAGAATGACTCTGAACTAGCTTTAACGTATTATAAACTTGTACCAACTGCACACTCCTTTTGGAATCAATCTCAGGTCAGGATCAGTACCAAATGAGTATCAATATTAGCATCAAATCAATAGTATTGATATATCATTGATTTGTGTCAGTGATTCCATCATTTCCTTTCATTACTTTAGATATATGCCTTGTTATCTGATTCTAATGATGGTGATATGAAAGTGTCTTTGTTAACAAGTTCATTATCAGCTATACAGAGAGCACAAAGATATGTCATTGACTCCAATGATCAGGTATACTTTACAAATACCATGTGCTATAATCATGCACGTGTAATATCCTATGTTACATGTACATGCTGTATATGAGAAGTTTAGGTCAATCCCTAGCTTTAAAAAATTGCAAATTTTAACCATGTAAAATTGCATTTTCTGATGCATATTGATGTCCTTATGCTATGTAGAAAGTTTGAAGAGATTCCGACTAAAATTATTCGAGTTACAGCCATTTTAAAAAATGGGCCGATTTCTCAAAAATTTCCTGTACTATAGCCCATGGTTTTTTCCAAAAAATGGCTCCAAAATCACCCCCAATTTTTATTACATTTTTTGATACATATTGATGTCCTTATGCTATGTAGAAAGTTTGAGGAGATTCCGACTAAAATTATTCGAGTTACAGCCATTTTAAAAAATGGGCCGATTTCTTAAAAATTTCCTGTACTATAGCCCATGGTTTTGTCCAAAAAATGGCTCCAAAATCACCCCCAATTTTTATTACATTTTCTGATACATATTGATGTACTTATGCTATGTAGAAAGTTTGAGCTGATTCCAACTAAAATTATTCAAGTTACAACCATTTTTAAAGATAGGCCATTTTCTGAAAAATACCCTGTACTATAGCCCATGGTTTTTTCCAAAAAATGGCTCGGAAATCACCCCCAGATTTTTATTACATTTTCTGATACATATTGATGTACTTATGCTGTGTAGAAAGTTTGAGGTGATTCCGACAAATATTTTTAAAGTTATGAGCATTTTAAAATTTAAAATGCTTATTATACATGTACATTATGATGCATGTACAAACACACATAGTACATTCACATCAAGTTATAAATTAAATTGTCCAATTATTTAGGAGTTAGTTAAGAGGATCGATGATGAGAAAGAGAGAATTCAAGAGCTTCTGGACTCCGCCAGATTGTCAAATGAGACCACACCTACTGCCACACCCACTGCAACTCCCAGTAATAGTGCCAGTGTTTCTTCTTTACTCAAATATGAGGCCACACCCACTTCACGACGTACAAAAATTGTAGATGATACCGATAGTTTTGACCAAACTCCTACGCAAGTAAGTCTTTAATTTATAATAATTTTAAATTTCTTTGTTTAATTTTTAGGATTTGTCCGAATCTATTAGAGAGAGAGATGTTAAAATTGCCTCATTAGAGAAAAAACTGAAATTTCTCACGGTATCTATTTAGAATTATTTTTAGTTTATTTTTCATTATTATTTTCTTATTATTAGGAGCAGATTAGTGACATCAAATTTTTACAGAAAAGCCCTTCACAACCTCTCATATCTCCACGAAACGGCAAGTGATGTATTTGAAATTTTAATTGTTTTAATTTCACTCCTTCTCCTTACAGGTGCTTTAGATGCTAGTCCTACCGTCAACCAGTTAAGAACGAAACCTTTATTTACTTCACCTCCCCAAGTTTCAGCAACTCCGCCACATGAAAGAGGTTCTCAGTTTCCTCCTGCTCCTCCTCACCCAACTCCAGCTCACCGTTTCCCTCCTCCTCTCTCTCACCTTCCCTCTGCCCACCCTCCCTCGATAATGCCGTTTCAATTTGGATCTGCTCCCATCTCTTCATCTCAATCTTTAACGTTTAGCTTCCGTTCCTCTGTACCCTCTCAGTATCAGTCTCCTGCGGTCACCTCTCCTCCTATAAGAGGGGTTCTCCCCCCGTCTCAGTCCCCATCTGATGGCGGGTATTCTCCTTCTTCAGCTAAACATGCTCCTCCCACAATGTCACCTCCTGGTAAAGTTATTCCAATGCCTAAGCCAGTTTCTATTAGTCAAGATGCTCTTAATGTTAGCTTGAATGGTGCTACTGCGTCAGTTAGTGCAGCTGGTGGGTTCTCATTTGGTTCTGTGACTAGTGGTACTAATGCTTTGTCTAGTGGGAGAGGGTTTTCAATGGGCTCCCTCTCAACTCGCCCTCCTTTATTACCAGCACCTGCTACTGGCCCACAGTTTAATACAGCTGCTACTGGGCCTCAGTTTAATATACCTACCACTGGGCCTCAGTTTAATACAGCTGCTACTGGCCCACAGTTTAATACAGCTTTACCTAAGAATCTGTTTAGTTCATCACCTGCAGTGACTACTTCAATCAGCCTTCCTTCTTTTCCTCCATCTTTACATGGTGCAGTATCATCCACTCCATCTTTTGGAGTATCTTCCACTAGTTTTCCTACTCCTTCCTTTGTTGCTTCAAAAGGTCCTCATACTATTCACTATGGTGCTCCTCCTGTCTCTATCAGCAGCACTACTGCAGTTCATAGCAGTAGCAGTACTGGGGCATTGCCGCCTTTTCAATTTGGGAATAAAACTACTCCAGGCAGTGCTGTACCATCTTTTGTAGGAGGACCACCAGTTCAGGTCGGAGGAATGAAGCTATCAACTCCTCATCAGTTAGTACCTGCTTCTACTGGTGGAGCACCATTGCCTCAATATTCATCTTCTAATACAGGACCATTTCAGTTGGCACCTGCTTCTACTGGTGGAGTATTGTTGCCTCAGTTTCCATCTTCTAGTGCAGGACCAATGCAGACACCATTTTCTTTGGCAACTCCTCCATTTTCAGCTATGTCTGCAACTCCTCCTCGATTACCTTTTCAGTTATCAAGTACTCCTCAGTTTAAAGGACCAGCTAGTTCATCAGTGCCTCAGTTAGGAGCTACTCAACCAGCAATCAGCAGTGGCTCTGTTTCATTACTTGGCCCTGGACCATCCACTCTTCCACCAACCTTCATGGGAGGACTAGGAACCACATCTTTTGTGATGCCACAATCAAATGTTGCTCCTACTTTTCCTCCACTTAAAGGTAATATGTATATTGTTTCATTCTCATGAACATTGACTTACATTCTCCTTCTCTTCTTTATAGGTCCTACTAATGCAGCAGTCACTAGTACTCCTCCTCCTATCACCAGATCATTATTCTTGAGTACCACTACCACTACTGTATCACAGTTCACTCATCAGTTCAGTACTGGGTCTGCTGTTTCACAGTTCAATGCAGTTTCTACAACTAGTTCAGTCTTTACACTGTCCTCTTCAGCTCAAGTATCATTTGCTACTTCAACAACCAAACCATCCTTCACTGCTCCTCCTACTAGTATTGCATCTAAAGGACTTATGTCTGGGAATTTTGTACCCACTACTAGTGCTATGGCTGCAACTACCAGCACTAGCATGCCCTCATTATTTAGTACTTCTGTGACTGCACCTTCTTTATTGGGTAGCACTTTCTCAAGTACTAGCGCATCCGTCCTTACTAACAAACCACTCCCTCTTTTATTATCAAATACTCCTGCTAAATTGGAAGGAGATGAAGAAGAGGCAGTAGCTCCTTCTCCTGATATCAGTTTTGAGTTTACTCCTCTTGTTTCATTGCCGGAGGTTGAAGATCTGACTAGTGGAGAAGAGAATGAAGACGTCCTCTTCTCTGAGACTGGCAAACTCTATAGGTTTGATTCTATACTCAAGCAATGGAAGGAGAGAGGCAAAGGAGTTATTAAGATCCTCAAACACAAATTGAAGGGAAAGTCCCGAATCTTAATGAGACGTGAGCAGATATTAAAGATATGCTGCAATCACTTTATTACAAATGACATGTGCATGTCTCCTTTTGGTAATACACAGAAGTCAATGATGTGGTACACTTTGAGCGATTTCTCTGATGAAGTCTGCAAGCCTGAGAAGCTAGTGATCAGGTTTAAGTCTATTAGCATGGCAAATGACTTTAAGGAAACGTTTGAGAAATGCGTTAAAGAGACCAAATCAAGCGATACTAAACCACCTCCATCCTTGTCTCCTTCTCTCCCTCCCTCTTCACTCCCTCCCTCAACTGCTTCTACTTCACAGACCAGTGTTAAGCCTCTTACTGTTCAGTCTGCTCCAGGTCAGTGGGAGTGCTCTGTCTGTTATGTCTCTAATAAACCTGAGGCTGTTAAGTGTGTGGCTTGTGAAGCTTCTAGAGTAGGAGGTGGTGGTATCTCTTCAACTCTCTCTCTTCCTTCGTTATCAAGTTTTAAAGCTCCAGCTTCTCTTAAAAGCACACCAGGGACTCAATTGAAGCCATTGGCCTCATTGTCCTCTAAAGGTGACTGGGAGTGTTCAGCATGTTATGTCTCCAATAAAACTGATGCTATTTATTGTGTTGCCTGTGGTGCAGGGAAGGATGGAGCAGCAGCACCATCATCATCATCAACTGGTTCTGTTAATCTGTTATCAGGATTTAAATCTTCAGCTATATTGGGAGGAGGTGGTATGACATTGAAAGGACTAACATTACCATCTTCAACTAGTAGCACCACTGGAGGAGGAGGTGGATTGGCAAGCGGTGGTGGCATGTCTTTAAAAGGATTTTCACTGTCTTCAGGACTCAATACAGCTCCATCTACTAGTATTGGAGCACCTCTAAGTGGCGGCGGTATGTCTTTAAAAGGATTTTCGTTGCCTTCAGGACCCAATACTTCTTCTAGCACCATACCATTGGCCACTAGCACCACACCATTGGCCACTAGCATAGGAGGAGGAGGAACTGGAATAAAAGGACTTTCATTGCCTTCAAGCAAACCAGCAGAAGAAGAAGAGGAAGAAACTGATGAAGAAACTGAAGAGGAGGAGGAGGAACAGCAAATTCCAGTACAGAGTAAATCCACCAGTCAACAGTTTCAGGCAGTTACTGGGCAAAAGGGAACTTCTTCATTCTCATTCAGTTCATTTGCTGCACAGCAAGGTGGCTTCACTTTTAAAAAACCTGTTGAAGCTAGAGATGCCAGCATGAGTCCTAAGAAAGGAGAGCCTGAAGATGATGAAGGAGATCCGGAGAAAGAGCAAGAGATTCACGTGAAGCCACTAGTGAGTTTAGAGAGACTAGACTCCATTCCTACTGGAGAAGAAAATGAAGAAGCAATGTTTTGTGAGAAGGGGAAGCTGTTTCGATTTGACAGTAACCAGTGGAAGGACAGAGGAGTTGGTGAGATGAAGATATTATTGAATAGATCCACAGGAAAATGGAGATGTGTGATGCGTAGAGACCAGACTCACATTGTATGCTGCAATTTCCTATTAGCAGCAGGAATGAGTCTTAGCCCATACCAAGAGAGTAACAGAATATTTACATTTTCTGCTAACGATTATTCAGATGGCGAATCAAATCATTCAATGTTCACACTACGTTTTAAGACAAAAGAGATTGCCGAAAGATTTAAGACAATGTTTGAGAGAGGATGCTCTGGGGAGAGTGTTAGTGATGAAAGAGAAGATACTGATGGGGGACATGATGAAAGAATAACTGAAGACAAAGATGACAAAGAAGAAAGGAAACAAGATGAAAAGGAAGAAATGGCTGAAGAGGAAGAAATGGCTGAAGACAAAGATGAAGAAGAAGAAGAAACAGAAGAGCAGCAAGATGAAGAGGAAGAAACTGAAGAAAAAGATGAAGAAGAAGGGAGACAAGATGAGGAGGAAGAAATGGCTGAAGAAAAAGATGGAGGAGTAGAAATAGAAGAAAAACAAGATGAAGATGAAACTGAAGAAAGAAAAGGTAAGTTGTTAACAATAATTTATTAATAATATTTTTTTCAGGGAATGAGGCACAAGACAGTGATGATGATGATGTCATCTTCTTATATGAGGAACTTCCCTCGTCTGATCTAGTACAGGAGGCAGAAGGACTCTTCCTTCCCAAACACTTTTATAATTATCTCAAAAAGGAGGGATGCCCTGGTTGCCGTGGCTGCAAAGATGACTTTGAATTCCCACCAGATTATGGTAAAGAGAAGAAAGAGAATGAAAACTCTTTTATGAGTATTGAACCAGCACCTCAAAGTAAACCAGCTGAAGATGATAATAAAGAGGAAAAAGACACAATCAATAAATCATCATTTCATCCATCATCGTCAGGCAGTTCCTTTGGAGCTGCTCCTTCAATTAGTGAGACCAGTAGTACTGGATTATTCTCTTCTGTTGCCGTTGGGTTCTCGTCATTCTCTGATATTGCATCTAGTGCTGAAAGACCCTCCGATTTCATTAAAGATGAAGGTTTTAAGTTTTCTGGAGCCGGAGCTCAGTTATTTTCCGGTGGAGGTGGAGAAGGCAGAGAGGAAGAAGGAAACGAGAATTCTGAGGAAGAAGCTAATATTCATTTTAAACCAATCGCTACTTTACCAGAGACTTACGACTATAAATCGGCAGAGAAAGAAGGAGAGACCCTTTTTGACGAGCGTGGGAAACTCTATCGTTTTGACGGCTCAACCAATCAATGGAAGGAAAGAGGTCTTGGTAATATGAAGATTATTTATCATCGTGGAAACAGGCAGACCCGTCTGGTTATGAGACGCGATCAGATATTAAAGTTATGTTGCAATCATTACATCACTGATAGTATGAGCATTGAGATGCAAATGGGTAATCCTAAAGCAATGACCTGGTTTACTGAGACTGACTACTCAGAAGAGACTGCCCTACCACAGAAGCTAGCTCTTAGATTCAAACATGAGGAAACTGCAAAGAGATTTAAGGATCTTTTTGAAGAAGCAGTTAGTAAAGCAAAAGAAGTGTCTAATATGAATGACGGACATTCAGAGAATGAAGAAGAGAGAGAAGAGAAAGAGGAGGAGGAAGTAAGGGAAGAGAAAAAAGATACAGAAGAAGTAAAGAAAGAAGAGGAGAAAGGAGATGATGAAGAAGAGGAAGAAGAGGAGGAGGAGGGTAAAGAAGAGGAAGAAGAGAAAGGAGAAGAAGAGGAGGAGGAGGGTAAAGAAGAAGAAGAGAAAGGAGAAGAAGAGGAGGAGGAGGGTAAAGAAGAGGAAGAAGAGAAAGGAGAAGAAGAGGAGGAGGAGGGTAAAGAAGAGGAAGAAGAGAAAGGAGAAGAAGAGGAGGAGGAGGGTAAAGAAGAGGAAGAAGAGAAAGGAGATGATGAAGAAGAAGAAGAGAAAGGAGAAGAGGAGGAGGAGGAGGTTGAAGATAGTGAAAGTGATGATAATGATGACTCTTTGTGGACTTGTCCTGATTGTTCAGTGAAGAATGATATCAATACTAACAAGTGTGTAGCTTGTGAAGCAGCTCGTCCAAATAAAAATTGAAGGAAGAGACTGCTTAATCATTTGTGATCGATTAGTTGTAGTGTTTATTTTAATTTGATTTTGCATGCATTTATTTTGTGTTCTACTTGTCCTTCTATTCACATCATTTTTGCTAATTACTACTGTGAGAAATTAATTTTAATAGTGTTAATGCTCACACACGTGTTTGCACGTGGATAGTTATTTTTGCTGAAGCTGTCCTGCGGTTAAAATTAGCCTTTCGAGTGTATTGTATGTTATTGTAATGTAATGGTTCACGTGAGATAACTTCCTGTTTATAATTTATTGTCAGCGATTGATGGACTGATGTCTTCTCGGATGTCTTGTAAAACAAAGGATTTTTCAGCAGAACAGTCTGAGTATTATTCAATAAGTCGCCCTCGAGATGACAAAGAAGAACCAATATTCATAGAGCAACCTTCTGATAGATACAACTGCCTAATATGTCATTGCGTGATGAGAGAGCCTCATATTGTCACATGCTGCTCTAGAAAGATGTGTCGTGACTGTATACAACGTGTAAATCTTTCTGGTCAACCTTGTCCCAATTGCCGTGAGCCTAATTTCAATAGTTTCTTAGAGAAGCAGCTCAACAGTGAGATACTAGATTTGAAGGTTCGTTGTACACACCACAAGAATGGATGTGAGTGGGTAGGAGAGTTAAGAGATCTAAAGAAGCATACTGGTTCCAGTTGCAAGTTTGCTAAAGTAAAGTGTCCTTTTGGTTGCCCCGTGGTTTATCTTCGTAAAGATGCAATGAATCACGAATCCATCTGTACTAATCTCCCACCAGAAATGCAGATTAAAAGAACAATGAAGGAAACCGATCAATTCAAAGAAGAGTTACAAGCTATGTTGAATCAATTTCAAGAGCTGTATAAATCAGAATCAGCACGTGTTAAAGAGTTAACAACTCAACTTGAGGGTCTGAAAGAAAGTCACAGAAGAGAGCAGCAAGAATTGAAGATTCAGTTTCAGGCAGAGAAGAAGCAGCTACTAGAAGAATCTAAGAAACAGGTTATGCTGCTAATAAAGAACTTAAGGGCTGAATTTACTGAAGCAATGCTAAACAAACTGACTGTAGCAAATGCAGAGCATCAGCTTAAGGAATCATACAATGGTGCACCTGTGACTACTTCAGCTAGCTTCCTTCCTCCTTTATCTATGCTTGGTCCTGCCACTGCTCCTAAGGATGAAGATAAAACTGAAGCAAGAAAAGGTAAAGAACTGCAATGATTAGTTTTAGCTAAAATTTATCAATAATCTGTTACATTAATTTTTATTCTACTAATTTTTTAGGGAATGAGGCACAAGACAGTGATGATGATGATGTCATCTTCTTATATGAGGAGCTTCCCTCGTCTGATCTAGTACAGGAGGCAGAAGGACTCTTCCTTCCCAAACACTTTTATAATTATCTCAAAAAGGAGGCATGCCCTGGTTGCCGTGGCTGCGACGATGACTTTGAATTCCCATCAGATTATGGTAAAGAGAAGAAAGAGAATGAAAACTTTTTCATGAGTATTGAACCAGCACCTCAAGGTAAACCAGCTCATGATAATAAAAAAGACACAATCAATAAATCATCATTTCATTCAGCATCATCAAGCAGTTCCTTTGGAGCTGCTCCTTCAATTAGTAAGACCAGTAGTACTGGATTATTCTCTTCTGCTGCCGTTGGGTTCTTATCATTCTCTGATATTGCATCTGGTGCTGAAAGACCCTCTGATTTCATTAAAGATAAAGGTTTTAAATTTTCCGGAGCCAGAGCTCAGTTATTTTCCGGTGGAGGTGGAGAAGGCGGAGAGGAAGAAGGAAATGAGAATCCTGAGGAAGAAGCTAATATTCATTTTAAACCAATAGTTACTTTGCCAGAGACTTATGACTATAAATCGGCAGAGAAAGAAGGAGAGACCCTTTTTGACAAGCGTGGGAAACTCTATCGTTTTGATGGCTCAACCAATCAATGGAAGGAGAGGGGTCTTGGTAATATGAAGATTATTTATCATCGTGGAAACAGGCAGACTCGTCTGGTTATGAGACGTGATCAGATATTAAAGTTATGTTGTAATCATTACATCACTGATAGTATGAGCATTGAGATGCAAATGGGTAATCCTAAAGCAATGACCTGGTTTACTGAGACTGACTACTCAGAAGAGACTGCCCTACCACAGAAGCTAGCTCTTAGATTCAAACATGAGAAAACTGCAAAGAGATTTAAGGATCTTTTTGAAGAAGCAGTTAGCAAAGCAAAAGAAGTGTCTAATGAGAATGATGAGAATGAGGAAGAGAAAGGAGATGATGAAGAAGAAGAAGAAGAGAAAGGAGAAGAAGAGGAAGAGGAGGAGGAGGTTCAAGATAGTGAAAGTGATGATAATGATGACTCTTTGTGGACTTGTCCTGATTGTTCAGTGAAGAATGATATCAATACTAACGAGTGTGTAGCTTGTGAAGCAGCTCGTCCAGTTCCTCCATTTTTACATGCTACAGTATCTTCCACTAGTTTTCCTATTCCTTTATGTTTTGCTCCTTCCAGTGTCACTCCTTCCTTTAGTGCTTCAAGAGGTCCTCATACTATTCACTATGGTGCACCTCCTGTCTCTATCAGCAGTACTACTGCAGTTCATAGCAGTAGCAACACTGGGGCATTGCCACCTTTTCAATTTGGAAATAAAACCACTCCAGGCAGTGCTGTACCATCTTTTGTAGGAGGACCACCAGCTCAATTTGGACGACTGAAGCTTCCTGCTCCTACCGGAGCACCATTGCTTCAATATTCATCTTCTAATACAGGACCAATGCAGACATCATTTCCTGTAGCAACTCCTCCATTTTCAGCTATGTCTGCAACTCCTTCTCGATTACCTTTTCATTTACCAAGTACTCCTCAGTTTAAAAGTGTAGCTAATACCCCAATGCCTCATTTAATGCCACAGTTAAGTTTTGCTCCCACTATTCGTCCATTAAAAGGTAATAATATTCTCCTATATTTGTATCTGTTTGATACTCATGACTATTTAGATCCCTTTTCTTTGTATTTAGGCTCTACCTGTACTGCTACAGCAACTACTCTCTTAACTACTACTACAACTACTGGGCCTGTTTTTCGGTTTAATGTAGTTTCTACAGCTACTTCAGCCTTTACACTGTCCTCTCCAGCTCAATTATCATTCACTACTTCAACAGCCAAACCATCCTTTAGTGCCACGCCTTTTGTATTTGGAGTAAAAGCACCGCCAAGAAGTAGACCTTTTGTATCACCTTGTGTGTCATCCAAAGAGTCTTTAGGTCTTAATACTGGTAGTAGAGGAAGAGAAGGAAAGGGACTTGCATTACCACCAACAGGGAAAGAGGAAGAGAGACAAAAGCACCAACAAATTCCAGTACAGAGCAAACCCACTAGTCAAGCATTTCAGACAGGTACTGGACACAGAACAACTTCTTCATTCTTATTTACAGCAGAACCAGGTGGCTTCACTTTTAAAAAACCTGTTGAAGAGGCTAAAAATGCCAGTGTGAGTCCTAAGAAAGGAGAAGATAAAGCAGAAACACTAGACTCCATTCCTACTGGAGATGAAAATGAAGAAGCAATGTTTTGTGAGAAGGTGAAGCTGTTTCGATTTGACAGTAACCAGTGGAAGGACAGAGGAGTTGGTGAGATGAAGATATTATTGAACAGATCCACAGGAAAATGGAGATGTGTGATGCACAGGAACCAGACTCACATTGTATGCTGCAACTTCCTATTAGCAGCAGGAATGGGTCTTAGCCCATACCGAGAAAGCAACATGAAGTTCACATTTTATGCTGACGATAATTTGAATGGCAAATCAAAGTTTGCATTATGTTTTAAAACAAAGGAGATTGCTGAAAGATTTAAGGAAATGTTTGACAGAGGATGTTCTGGTCAGACAAGATAAGGAGCTGAAGCGAAAAATGTGAGACAACCAATACAGCAGCTAGGAGCGTGATAGTTTTCTTTTTCTCTTTTAATATTAGTCATTATTATACAATTTTAAATGATTTAGTTTGCTATCTTTTCAATTTGTATTTGTGCATATATAGTTTAGTTTTAGTTCTTTTGTTTTTTAATGTTTATTTTTTCATTACCTCATCACGTGTTTGCACGTGGATAGCTTAGCCCCGCCCCAACATTGACTATGTCGTGGAGAAGCACATGGAATTGTTTTATCTGGAGAAAAACTCGATGGATACGTTTGTATTCTGATAGAAGAGGGCAGAAAAGACATGGAACAGCTTTATGGAAGCCAGCTGCCTTCACACTACTGGTATAATTTAAATTGTATTGTTGCATTTTAATTTCTCATGTTTTTTACGACCTGGGGGCGTAGCCCCCAGGTCGTCCTATAATTGATTTCACCCACGTGCGATATATATATATTTGATTGTATGTCAACACTTCATTTCTTCTATACACGTTGTATTGGAGAAATAACAAGCCTTAGCAACCACCCGCCCACGCTACGTAAGTGGGTGTGGTCACGGCAAACAAAATGGCGGTTTGAACATGGAAAAAAGTTATGAGCTTTCTAACAGCGAAAGAGCATAGAGATACTGTCTAAAGACTTTTCTAGAAGCAGTAGAAGGTAGAGAGAATCTTCATAAGTCTTAATAAAAACCCAGCTGTACATGCAAGGTGGTGAAATCAATTATAGGAATATTTTTACACTGTTACGCTTGTTATTTTAGGTTGGGTCTAGTACTTATATTGTCAGCATTTGTTATCATGAAATGAAAAGAAAGTCATTTTTAAAGAAACACCTCAATGAAGAGCATTACTCTTCACTGCATAATACAGAGAAAAATGGCATCAGTGCAAAATTGAAACAAGTATAGGATCGATCATAGACTTATAATGACGTCTCTCTCTTTCTCAGATCAAACAATGGTGGCAGTATCAATTGTACCACGACAAATTCTATTTTGGTAGGTTTTTGAATACTGTATTAATTTATATTTGCTACAGCTGTATTGTCATTGAATGCTTGTGTATTTGCTGCCTGGATCCTGCCCCAGTGGACGTTGAAACCATTCGAAAGACTCAACCTAGTATTAATGAGATATTTTACTTCCACACCCAGATTCAGTAAGCTCTATTAATATTCGTAAAGATTTTAAATTCTTTAAAATTTTAATGGGTATGTGTTTTTATAAAATTTTAAAGGTTCGACCAGTTCATTGCTGTTGTCATCTTTCAGCCACAAGGACGTGTGGCACTTCATGATTAATATGTACGTGATGTATACCTTTATGCCTCCTTTTATTTGTGAGTTTATTTTTTATAATAATTATAAAAATTCGTATTAGCTCTCGTTGGTAGAGAAGGAAGTTGGCCGTATTATTTGACAGCTGGTATGCAATTTTTATTTGTTATCATTATTATCATTATTAATAACCTTTAGCTACTTTTGCATCAGCGATAAGTCATTATATTAAAGTATTCAGAGGTGCACATCTTGTAGCTTCACTAGGAGCTGTGAGTTTGTCTTAATACTGTGCTCTATTTTTAAAACTCTCTCAATTTTATTACGTTTACATTCTATTCTCTCATGTATCTCCTTTAGTCGGGTGCTCTTTTAGCAGTATTGAGTTTAGTTGTGATGCATAATCCTGGTGCTACCCTGCATATTGTGTTCTTTCCTTTTATACCAATACCTGCTTCTGCAGTTAAGATGGAACTCATGCACACTGACATCTTAACCTTCCTTTCATCTTCTCTTGTTCTTTATCTTTTGTACTCTTCTCTTCTTTCTCTCTCATATCTCAGGGTTTGGCATCCATTGTTGCATTGGATGTAATAGGTTTGCTAAGAGGCTGGAAAACGTTTGATCACGCTGCACATCTTGCAGGAACTGCTTTTGGAATGCAAGTGGAGAGAAAGAGAGAGGGGAGAGAGAAGAAGGATAGAGAGTTCTTGTTTATTATTTGCCTTTTTTTTGTTAGATTGTACTATCACTATGGACATAAGATATATCATAGAATTAGACGAAAGGTAATTCAAGTGCTCAACTACTTCTCATAGGACTAATGAAAACTTAATAAGAGAACCTAGGTCTGACGGTTCATTATACTTGTAAAATAACATAATGACACTGCTATAATTCATTCTTGATACACAGACACAACAATGATAATAATATAATAAAATAATATAATATAATGTTCATATCAATATTATAATAACAGAGAGGATAAAGACAGGGCTAATTTGCAATAATAATAATAATAATAATAATAATAATATTACACTATTCTGGGTTAGTTTGAGTAGGTTGAGGCTTGTTTTCAATAACTTGAAATCCATCCTCCTATGAAAAACAATACAATTATAGTGTGTGTGTGTGTGTGTGTGTAATACTGTATAGTGAGTACAGGAATGTTTTGTCAAAAATGGCTCAAAGAGATTTCTCTATTTTTACAATTTGTCCTGATACATATACATGTTCTTATGTTGTGTAGAAAGTTTGAGCTCATTCCGATCAAAATTGGAATTTTTATGAATTTTTTAAAATGCTCCAAAATCGGTTAAAAGTCCCTGTACTATAGTACAGGGATTTTGGGCAAATTTCACCAAAAATGGCTAGGTGAGATTTTTCCATTTTTATAATGTTTCCTGATGCATATACATGTTCTTATATTGTGTAGAAAGTTTGAGTTCATTCCGATCAAAATTGGATTTTTTATGAATTTTTAAAGTTGCTCCAAAATCGGTTAAAAGTCCCTGTACTATAGTACAGGGATTTTGGGCAAATTTCACCAAAAATGGCTAGGTGAGATTTTTCCATTTTTATAATGTTTCCTGATACATATACATGTTCTTATGTCGTGTAGAAAGTTTGAGCTCATTTTGATTAAAATTGAATTTTTTATGAATTTTTAAAGTTGCAAAACCCTGTACTAACTATACAGTACTAGGCTATTTTATCAAAAATGGCTCCAATCGAGATAATTTTCCTTTTTATTTTTCCTGATACATTTATACATGTTCTAATGCTGCATATTATAAGTGACATACTTCACTGCATTGCGGTAAGTTCTGTGAAGAAGGGATTGATATCACTTCCCTGTAACACTCATTGCAGACCCTCACTGGTGTACTGTAACCAAGGGATGGGAGTGACGTACAGTTCTTCGAACAATCGTCACAAAATATGCGACCACATTTCCTAAAAACAAATTATATTTATTTTTTAATATTAAAACAATAACACTCATTTACCTGCAGTGATGCTGTTTAGTTGCAGAAAGAAAAAAAATTAAAAATTGTTACTTTATATCCATTTAGTATCATCTCTTACTTTTCTTCTCAATATCGAAAATTTTTTGTGACAGCTCAAACAATCCTTTGTCTTATCATCGGACATCCACACAATTGTTTCCGACTCATCAAACATATCCGCCTTAGAAGCTCCACCTCCTTTTGTCTATAAATAGTAACAGTTTCATCATACACCATATAAGGTCATTTATGTTACCGACCTGATTAGTGAAGTCTCCAGGTCCTTCAAGGCCCATTCCTCCGGTCTCCATCTCAACACGTGAAGCAATTGACGTTCCGTCCCAAGCGAGGAAGTACTCCTCCCACAATCTCAACCTTCTAATTGTCCATGTGGGCATTATAATCTACATGTACATGATGATAAAGGAAATGGATAGAGGAAAGATTGGGAGATTTTTAAGAGTGAAAGAATAGAAATTTAAGAGTTGAAGTAAGAAAGAGATAGAATTTTATTTTTTTAGTTCATTTTTACTTCTTTTGTTTCTCTGTAGTTTAAATTAATGTAGACATCTCTCATTGCATTGAAGTGTGCAGTAATTGGAACTGTTGATACAAAAACATCGTTCTCTATCCTTTCCTTGTGACAGTTGAACAGAAACGTACCAAACCTGTCAGACGAGTTTTAGAAACAAGAATACAAGTAAACACAAGACATTATAATGTATGTACATGTATGTGTATGCAGGTTTAATTTACCATCCTGTGTTTAGATGTTCAGCTATTGTGAGAAGAAAGGAGAGATTAAATTGGAAGGCATGAGGATATTGATTCATAAGCTGGAGAGAAGGAAGGAGAGAAATGAAGAGAAAAAGTATAAAGGAGGACTTTTATCTCTCTTCTCGTTGCTTCTCTTTCCCTTTCTCTCTCTTTCTCTTATACCTGGTGTACGCAGTCTAGAAATTGTAGAAAGATTGGTGAGCGTTCGTTAGGATTTAGTGGATGGCCCAACCTCTCCTTGAACTTATGCCCATAGGACAACCACTCCTTAGCAATAAGTGTCTATCACAAATTAAATATAATTATTAAATAGGAATACGTATATTATATATAATAAATTACCAAGAATCCATCAATGGTCCTATAATATGAGTCAATGATGATTTGTGTTAGTGATGTCAACTGTGCCGTTCTGTCCCAGCCATCGCTGCAATGAATCAATGCACTGCCTGAGTGAATCTTTATTAGCCTTGCAATGAGGTATGATCCCTATTAATAATAATAATAATAACGATGATAATAATAATAATAATAATAATTAGATGCATGAATGAAGGGGGCAAACAAAAGCATAATCTACACCCATTTCTTCTCTCCCTCTTTTTTCTCTTACTTTCAAAATGAGGCTAATATACTCAATCCATTGAGTGCTCTCGAGTGAAGAGTACCACCTGGTGCTGCTGGTTGAAAGTGCCAGCTGCTTCAGTCCCTCATAGCTCTCCCGGACAGCATGGATATTAGGAATGTCAAGATGAGTTAACTTGCACCTGTAATAGCGTGAAACATCCTCTGTACCTTTTCCCTATGAAAGAGTACAGGGTAGTAGCTTTAAATTATGTGGCTAATCAGTTTCTAATTTTATATGATAGATGTACAGTATATGCTATTCTGCGGAAAGTTGAAATGTCACAATTTTCTTACCATTATTCTGTTTCCTGTAGCAGCTGATGAAGAGCGTGCATCAAATATCATTAGTCCTTCACCCTCATAACAGGTGATGGCATACTTTAGTAGTGTCTCATCCTCAGTTGAATGCTAATATGGAGGAAGAGAGAGAGAGAGAGAGAGAGAGAGAGAGAGAAAGTAATAGTACTTATATCCTGTGCAATCTTGTCAATTTCAAATAATTAACAGTCATTGATAATTACAGGGGCTATCTTTTGGCTAGCCCCCTACAAAATAGTCTAAAATTACAACTGCAAAGCCTCACAACTGCACCCTCACGACATTTGAATTGAGGGGAAGGAGAGGAAATACCTTATCAGAGAGACCTGGTAAAGGTTGTGCACTTCGCAGGAGGAATGTTCCATTTACTTTATCCATCCAAACCAATGAGGGTACTCTACCCTAATAGTCAATAATAATAATAATAATAGTAATAATAATAATAATAGTAATAATAATAATAATAATAATAATAATAATAATAATAATAAAGGAAATATATTTCATCCTTTATATACCTTACTCCTGTACTTTGATACAGCAACTATCAACTCATCCTAAAAATCAATGATCACTTGTAACTTCCTTTATTTATAGTGTGCATAATGTTAAAGTGTACATGTACGTGTAACTTACTCTAACAACTTTAGGTATGTACACAACTGGTGGGTAGGTTGGACAAAGAGTGTATAGACAATTGAGTGGACTTTCCTTCCAATTATCGCTCTATTACCAGATAATAGGATAGGTATCACTACAATACACAACACTCGATATCTTTACCATCATTCTAGCCATGTCAGTATGTAGCTGAGCCTCGACATTCCAATCTGTCTTTAGCTTCAGCTCTGTTGCATATGGCTCTGACCTTTTAGAGAAGAAAGGAAATAGAGAGAGAGAGATAAGGAAAAGAGAAGTCAGAATTGTGAATCATTACAATTTAAGTTCTCATACTTTAGGAAGAAGTAAGCAGCTGGGTTATCAGAAATGTTGTACATAATGTCTTCTAGTCTTTGAAGTAATCTATTGACAAGAAGCTTAGTAGGAGCAGGCAGTGTAAGACCGGAATACGCTGACTCTAACTCCTAAAGAAGAAAAGGAGAGGAAAGAAGTGGAAAGCAATTTAAAGTGAGAAGAGTAAGCAGTTATCCAATGCACAGTTTTAAAAGTACATATTTCATCTTTCACTAATTGCACTATATATCACAGCTATGTTTGTAGTAGTGTGTGTGTGTGTTTCATTGACAATGATTGTCCAAACAGTAATGAGCATAAAATAACTCACTCAATCAGTAAGAATAACTATCATAAATTACCATAAGAGTTTACTAATAGGCATACAGTGTGTAACCACCTGTAAAACTATTAGGATGATTAGGCCTAAGAATACATAGGATTTACTAAGGCTACAATGCAGTGTAACCTCTATAATAAGGACACCTCTATAATAAGGACATTAAAAGTGTTCCAATTGGTACAAACCCATAAAAAAGTTTGAAGGATGGTAGTGTGGGCCCAACGGTGTATACTACAGCTACTTTTTACTAACAGTTATGTTTGGATTTTGTATCACTTCTTCTTCTTCCTCCTCCTCCTCTTCTTCCTCTTCAGTGCCTTCCTCTATCCCTGTACCACAGCCAATAAGTCCTCCATCTTGAGCACCAGTCTCAGAGAGTCTCTTCAGAGTAAGTAATATACAATCCTATGCAAGACCATCCATTAATATAAATATGCCTCTACATGCATTAATGTGTATTGTTTTATGTCACTTAGTGCACATACTTGAAGTTCCTCGTCTTCAATGTCATAGTCATCAACGTTAGCTCCTTCACAAGAAAAGGCATTTTCGCTAATGGCGTCAGATCTTCTTCTTATCTCATGTCTATTGACAGGCTGAAGGAAGATTCAACGAATGGTCAAAGAAGACAATGGAGCAAGGTAAGATGAAGCATATGTGTATGTAGATGTACAATTTATAAAAGGTGAAAGTGTGAGTAGATAAAGTAATATATAGTCTTTCTCTCACTTTATCTTTTTTCCCTCTCAGTGGAATCATCTTCTTTAGTTTTTTCATTTTCTTCTTAATTTTGACTTCTCTTTTCTTCTTTCTAACCTGTCTTTCAAACTCTTGTGCTTGCTAAAAGAGAGAGAGAGAGAGGAGGGTTTAGTCTTATTCCTCTTTCTCGTTTCCTCTACCTTGATGATTTTCTTTGGTACTGTTTGGCTCTCATCTTTATTTCGTGAAACCTTTTTGATTCCGTCTGGTTCTGTGACAAACGTGAGACGGACTGACCGGCAGTCATAGCAATGCAACGTCACAGAATAACTCTCAAGATTCTCGGCAGTACCAAACGCCTGACGACGTACGACCTAAAAGAAAACAAGACATATATTGTACATACAAGTACATGTACAATTATTATTACACTGATGCTTTTGAGATACGATGTACATGTGCATGTACATGTACATGTACATTTAGGTGCACATGTTGAATTACATGTACATGTAAACTCCATTGTAGTGACAATGATAATAATGTTAGCAGTAATGTGTAACTAGTGTTACTGGTTCTTACTGTATTTCCACTTCCATGCTCAACGTGGTATATATTGCTAAGACCAATCCACATGCTACTGTCCTGCTGTAAAGGGACAGAAAGGAGAGGCAGGGGAGGGAGAGAAAAGAGGAGACATTATTAGTTATTGATGTTATTAATGCTAACAGTGGTAGTGGTGGTCATTGGTGATAAATTAGTGGTTGATATTGCCTTGTTCCCCTTCATATCTCCAACGGAAAGAATGATAAGCCTTTTAATAAATAAATAAATCATAATTATTAATAATAGTAACACAAAATTGCATATACATGGTATAGTGACTTTGGCCAAATTTTGCCAAAAATGGCTAGGTAAGATTTCTTTTTTATAATTATTAATTTAGATATAAAAGGTCATACAATTATTATACATGTACATGTACATGTACACATTACCTGTAGTTTGTTAGTAGGATCATTGCTTCTGATTGTGAGTCACACAATTCAACGTAAACCTTTGAAAACCAATCTCAATCTTCTCAGTTATTCCTATAACATAACCCATTTACTGTAATAATCATCATTTGCCATATCATTGTTATCATTATTAT